ACCCTAATGCACAAGCCATTAAAACACAGAAAAAAAAGGTACATTTTCAAAATAGTTTATGCTTATTTTTACATTCCCTCCAGGCCAAAACACTGGAGAAAATACTGAAATATCATCTTTGCCATCACAGAGCAGCAGAAAGCATGTAGAAGCTTACAATCCAACAAAGCCAAAGAATTACTGACTGGGTAAAGACCGGAGTTGAGTTTGTGAGAGAGGTAGTGTCTCCACACTACCTAACAAATAAATATTACCATTTTAATTGTACATGAAACAAAATCTCTAAGAGCTTAAGTAATACAATTTATATCCCAGTCAATCCCATTTTAAAGAATCCATTAATAAATTGATAGCGTTCTTACCAGACTGCTGAATGAAGGAGGTGGTTGAACAAAAGTGCAAAAAGTCATCCTTTACCTGCTCTTCCCAGATACCTGAGCTAGTGAAGCAGAATGCAACCTGCTTCTGGTCTTCAGTAGGCGCAAGATCCCCCCAGATAGGAGGAACTCTGCAGTACTCCCAGTAAGCTGAGCAGCAAAGCTGGGCTTTCCAGCTTTAGGCCAACGGCCCCATCTTTCTTCCTCAATCCATGCTAGAGGTAGAAGGGGAATAAGGACTACAGATGTTCTCTTTTTACCCATATTAATACAAATATCAGAACTTTGATTGCTTAATTTCCTCAGTAACCAACACCACGCTTCACTATGCAAGGTAAATCACTCATCTCTTTGTAAGTACAATTTTTTTCACTATTTCATACATATAGATATATTTATAGGTATAACAGCTTACTTCAGCAGTTAGAGGGTAGCTCCCACTGTAGCCAGGCTCTATACTTACAGTGCCAGTACATGGATCAGCTGATACAGGCACCAAAACAGCTTAAACTAATTACAATTTGCAGGTAGAGTGGTAATTGCACTTCTAACTGCCTAAATTAGGCATACAGATGCATGGTTGCATTCGTTAGAGCCTGACAGAATACTTTGTGCCAGCTGAAAATTCAGCCCTGAATAGTGGTGATGTTTTTATCTAAAAATGACTTTTGTTTGCCTAACATCTGACAGTGTAACATCTATTTCACTACATGTTTAATTAGTTTGTTTTCATTGTGTTCTCCCTTCCATTTTAGCTTTCATTACTGATGGGAGAGAGCAGGTTTCTGGCTCTGCACTTAAAACTGGTCCCAAGGCAAAGAACATGGCACCAATTCACCCTTGCAATGTCAGCTGTATAGAGCACTAAGCCAACATTCTATGCTCCCTACAGCTTTTGTGTTTTTAAAGTACCTTCTAGCTAGCCCCTGTTTTGTCTCTGATGGCTGGCTTTCAGGCATTGTAAACATCCATCTCACTGTGGAGTTTTCAGTTCCTATTTTTGAAACAGCAACTATTTTGTCTGCAAAATACAGGTCAAGCCACGCAGTTGAATCTACAACAGATTCACAGTCAGGTGCTCTCCAGCAGCTATAATCTCTCCACCTTTTCTTTTCAAACAAAAGCTTTTAAAAGGTTAATCATTTTAGACCATAAATGCTCTAATAGCTTGCTGTGAGTGTATGTTTATGAATTCTAGGTGTAGGTTTGTGAATGGCAGCACCGCTCAAGCCCAGACTGAGCTACGTAAGGAAGTTCACATGATTCAGATATCAACAAAAAAGAGTTCAGCTCCAACCTGTTTCAGACTTCCTACAGTCTCTTGGCCAGCTGCCGGCTTCTTTAACATCTCAGTGGGGATTCTTCCATTATTTTTAAGCAAGCAAGCAAACTATTGCTTCCTCATGTATAACCCTGCCTCAGCACAAGCTTCAGTCTACACATCCCCTGCAAACTACCATCCAATAGCTATACAAGCTCCTTACACACTTTAGAGTATAAACTTCTGAGCACTATTACATATTTCAACTAATAAAAAAAGATAGGTTGGTACCACAATACGTAATTTTCTCTAAATGTTGAAGGCGTATTTAAACTACATCACAATGTACTTATAACACTAATTCCTACTCACAGGAATTTTCTTCTTGGAGCATTACTACCCAGAACCACAAGATACATATGGCTAACAAGAGAAGCGGGCAAGCACACTGCTAAAAAACTGCATTCTCCTTGAAAGCTTGGATCAGAACAGTGAGATATCCCCACCTAACACCCATCTAAAGGAAGACCCTTCCCTGTTTTTTAACTTTTAGAAGCACCAGTTTAAGAGAGTGGTTAAGAGTAAGGATTCTTGTGGCAAAGGATGCAAGCTCCTTGAGCTATTTGATTTTGCACAGCCTACAAGAAGGTCGTCTTTTAAACAATGATTATTTTTTGACCTGCTCTTTAGAGAGTTCCAGTCTTTCTGAATGAAAACAACCCTTTTATATGCCAAATGTGTGCTGGCTCACTCTTCAGCACAGCGTTAAGTGAATGAGAGCTAAGTTAGAAAGAAGAAATGTCCCTTTTATCCCAAAGTTTGTTCCTTAAAGCTTTGCAGGGTCACAGAATGGTTTGGGTTGAAAGGAACCTTAAAATTCACCTAGTTCCAGCCCATGGAACAGGAACACCTTTCCACTAGACCAGGTTGCTCAAACCCGGCCTTGAACACTTCCAGGAATGGGGCATGTTCTCTGGGGAACCTGTTCAAGTGCCTCATCACCCTCACAGTGAAGAACTTCCTTATATCTTATTAAATCTCCCCTCTTTCAGTTTAAATACATTCCTCCTTGTACTATCATCACATTGCCCTTGTAAAAAGCCCCTCTCCAGCTTTCTTACAGGCCTCCTTTAGGTACTGGAAGGCTGTTATAAGGTCTCCCTGGAGTATACTCTTCTCCAGGCTGAACAAGGCCAGCTTTCTCAGCCTGTCTCCGTAGGCTTGTAACACTGTCATGCAAGACACTGCCGTATTGAATGAGTCACATGATTCCTAGTATTTTCTCCAGTATCCAAAAGACTTGTTACTTGGTCTAGTTAATTAAATTAAGAACTGCCATTAAGTTATCAGATCAGCACATCAGTGTAATTACTACCTATTAGCTTGTTATTTTTAACGCCAAATCTGTTTTCCCTTCTATATCACCAAAAAAAAACCAGTCAATGTCTACAAAGCAGTTAAGGGCTTTGTTACAATCTAACGATACACAGTGCTGGTGCATCATCTCTCCAGGTTGGGACAAAGCATACCTTCAGTGAGCTGCTGCTACAGAACATTGCCTTAGAGCATGATCAAAGAGCAGTAAATAAAGTAATGACTATATTGTCCATTTTATATCATCTCATTTAATTACAAGAGGACGGAGCTGTTCTTTTTCTCTTAGTCCTAGGATAAATTTTTTTTTAAAACTGTGAACTTTTTAATAAAAATAGGGGCCTCATGGTAAAACTTCGCATCCCAAGTTAAGATAATAATGCACGCAGAATGCAGGAGAGTTAAAGTCACACTGGAGGCAGACAGTCTTCCTTTCTTTTCCTTCAAGTGTTATCAAGACTGAGCAGAACTAGTCCCTCTATTACAAAGTTACACGCAACAAACAACAAGAAGTAGGATGCAGCCCTCTGAACAATCATTTTCTGTTCATTTAGCAGAGCTGTGCAGCACTGGTAATGCCAAGACCAGTCAATACAGTAAGCAGTAGAAGTTGAACTGGTTTTGAGTGCAGGTAAACTGTGTAAAAGCTAAATACAAAGAATTTGGAAATCCAAGAAAAGCAGAGGTATAATGATAGGCTGATATTGTAAGTGTGCATGGAGGTTACCAGGTTGGAGATGCCCATCCAAAAAATAACCACAAGAACCTCAAAAGAGTTGTTGATTTTTTTTTAACAGTATTTATTGAATAGTTTATTTCCTAGAGCCACTTTACTGTGTGTCAGCGTGTACTTAGGTCAGATGTCTCTTTTGAATGGATAAGAGCACAAAAGCCCCCTGGATACAGCTATCCAGGGGAAGATGGGAAAATAGTGAATATATTAAAAAGAAAAAAAAATGTTTGATTCTGGCAGATTCAGGCCTACCACGTTGTGTATTTCATTCATAATAGTTACATAGGTAATCAGAGTACGTTTTTAGGCTGGAGCCCAACACAACTCTTTATGTAAAAAGACAAAGTAGACTCTAATAAAAGCCTGTTTAGCAAAGCCATAAGCAGTATTATTTTAAACAGTTTATTTACATTGCTTGAATTGGCAAAAAGAGTTATAAAAATCAGTTAAGTCTGACACGTCCATAAGCATCACTAGTTACATACAGACATAAGACAAGACACAGGTGGTTAAAAAGGAACCATAAGCTGAGAATTTCTAATACAGAGTGACAGCTAAACAATTAAGGAAATGCAGAAATATACATATTTAGATAGTTCCTGAGATAGCATTGCACCATACTAAGTGTTCAGAGATTGAAGAACTGAACATGTAGTTTTGAAGGAAGACACAAATACATGAGAAAGCTACATAAAAAGCCTTGGAGAACTACACCCAACATCTGACACACCAAAATAAGGCCCTCAGGTTATGATGTCATATCACTATTCTCATGCATTAAATAACAATTTCTTGACCAAGTATGTGGTAGATAGAGGATTTGGGGGGTTTAACAGCCCTACTAAAAGGGAGTAAAATTATTTTCCTCAGACTTCCACTACAAAGAAATTCAGAAGAATTCAACTGATAATTTTTGGTGGTGGAAGCTAGGTCATAGCCTTTAAACTTACTGTTCAAATAAATGCATGTAACATACCAGTGTGTTACAGTGAGACTGCAGAAGACCACAGACACAGAAACTCAATTCTATTTCTTTACAAACAACTTCCATTATAAAATATCTGGAACAAGCAGCTGTACAACAGGTTAACTGTCATACTTGAAAGGTCAGGTATTTCATAATAAACCTCCATTTAAGAAATTGGCAATTCAAACATTAGAGTGCTCTGCCAATTGACAAAGTTAGGCAAGCATAAAAGCCATTCAAACTAGCCGTAAGTTATCTGAACATCATCTTCATTTTAAAATCTGAGAGGACAATTTCCATAGAAGAAAATGCTTCCATTATGTTTGCGAGAAAATAAATTTCTGCAAGGGAATACTGTGTCTTAAATGAAGACCAAGTTACTTATTCCACTGATTAGCTGATCTGCTTCAATACAACTAAAAAGCCCTTGTGATTAGTGTTATCTAACATTTTGCTAATCATTGCTAAGTGCTAATGACTAAGGTACCATTAATGTCAGTAACAGGTCATTTGAACAGCCAAGCTGCGAGTCAGTCACTACAATACAGCACTGAATTAGAAAACTACTTCATATCAAGTGGGTTGTTGATCGACTTAATGTATGGCTCCTTTTTTCGAAGATCGAGGGAAGACTGACCAAAGAAGGAGAAGGAATACCCTGTTGGGGGGAAAAAATACATAGTTATTTGATCATTTATTAACCAGTATCAATAGTGCAGTAGTTATTTCTGTGATACATAGTATTAGGAATGTAACAGTGCAGAAGATAGTTAAGATTGGCAGCTTTTGAAATTAATGATTCAGCATTTCTAGATTTCAAACAGAGAAGTTAAATAGCACCAAATGAGTAGAATAAATCTGGTTTTTTTCGAATTGCAGAGGAAAGCTTTTTTTCTTGTCACCACCCTTGAGAGATTCAGAAAGCAAAAACATGCTTTTGAGGAGTGTTAGTGTCCATCTTGCATCATGCTTTTTGTAATGGTAATCTCCTCCCAAATTGAAGGCAAGAGATATGATGAGAATCTCTTAGAGAAGTGGAGCTCTCTTCAGATCCTATAACTTTCTGTATTCTCCCCAGCTTTGAGCCCCAGATTAGATGGGGGCTGCCTTCTTGGCTACAGAAGGCAATAGGAATCACAACAATTTGTGAAAGCTTGCTTTAGCTGCACCTGGATGGGCAAAAACCTTACTTTTCTGATGCTAGAAGCAAAGTCTACTTCTGGGACCTAAAATTACAGTGAAACCAACACACCAATGTGCAGCAATAAAAGTCAACCTCTTTGGATCAGCTGAGATTTTAAACTCTTTTTACATTAGACCTAAAGTAGTCTTCTGTTGCTCATCAGGCAGAGAGAGCCAAGCTTTTCGGCATATAAACAGGTCAAGGTAGTTTGACAGCTTGGTGCACCTGCATGCTTTAAGAATCTGTTAAACAGGGATATCTTGATCAGGTAAGGATATACCATTTGTGCCTGTTTATAGCACATCTATTCATGGTCACAGGCAATATTTGAAAATTAAATCCTAAAACCCCCTTTACATAGCAGCTCTTAGTAGACTCTGAAGTATTTTATGCAAGATATTCTACTTACAGATAGGTGGGAAAAAAGCCCTTAAAACCATAGGTAAAACCAGCTGCTCAAGACTTTCCTGAAACTAAGTTATGAAAGTCCTCAGAACTCTGGCCAGTGGGCTACACTGCCAATTCAATAACTGAACTGAAACACTAAGTAATTCAGTTGTATAAAAATAACAAAACTATGCTGAAAACTTACAAGGATTTGTGAAAGAATTAACTTTGTACCCAGAAACAGAACTAGACCACACATGAGTGTTGACTCCAACCCCATGCACTAGGAAAGTCAAACAAAAACCCAGCACCATTTACTTTGTGGATTCTAGGGTTTTATACAGTTGTACCGTGCTATCTTAGTTTGGAGGACCCAAGATTTTTTGCTCACTTCATGCAAGATGGACATTAACAGTCAGGATCTGATGTACAGAATTTTTCAGCACCACATTGGTTATCATCTCCAGCATCACAAGTGGTAGTAATAATAACAGGGATAGGACATAATCTGTCCAAGACATAACCACTTAAGCTTTCCAAGTTGGAAGAGGGTTTTACTTCTACAGCATTTGAAAGATGAATATTTGGAGAGCCAGGACACAGCACAGGTCGAGGCCTGGAATTTTGAGAGCTCCATTCAACAGAACTGGAGCGATGAACATTAACAGCACTTTTGACAGATCCATGTAGGCTGCACGTGGAAGTTGACCAACCAATCTACAATTAGGAAGGGGTTCAAGAATTAGTCCAAACAAGAAAAAAGTCCAAGCTTCTAAGCTTTACCAATAATTTTACTCTATAGTTTTTCTACACCAGAAAATCCCCACATAAGCACAGGCCAGGATTTTATTTAAATAATCCAATGTCTGAATTACAGCTTTGACTGAGACAGGTTTCCAAACTTGAGCAGCTAGAACCCGAACATCCCTTTTCCCCATAACCTTATGATTCAACCAAAAAGGCTTAATGCAAGTTTCAGTGGTGTGTGGGACTGGTAAAAAAAATAAAAAGTAGAAAAAAGATTTTAAAAGTATGCACAAAAAAGCCCCCAAACCACACACAGCATCACACACGGCGTATGATCTGCTGCCAAGCTGCATCTTACTACCTCAGAGGTCCAAGAACTCTGGGAAAAATTTGAAATGGGAAAATAGTTTTTATTACTCTAAATTCCTATTGCTTTGCTGATGAAAGTATTTTTGTAAGAGACAGACACACACACACAGAGGCATGCATTACTTGTATTTTCATGAGAAATAAGATACAGTGCTATATCAAAATGAAGACAGAATATTAGAATTTGAAAGCAATTTTTGGAGCAATCCTAACTGAAGTAATAAACTCTTTATAGAGAACTGGGTTATAGCCACACTGGTATTTTTTTTTTTTTTTTATTTGCTCTAAAGCAAGGGAGTCCATTGTGATTACTTCCTCTCTCATTATTTCATATTTTCTCATGCCTATCTCATGTGGGAGAGCAGGGAAATATCTTTCTGGCGTACAATTTAATGGCTACTCAGACATACTGAATTATCTCTGTATTAAGGTACTGACATGAAAAGATGCACAGGAGATCCTCTTGGTGGCCTTCTCCCCTACAAACCACAGACTTTAAAGCAGATGTTTACTCAGCATACAGACCCACTCAAACACTACAATAAAAGCAAAGATAATGAAACATTTCCTCCAAATCTAGTCTGCTTTACTAGACTGTACTAAGAAATTGAGTCTGACTTATTGTAGAAGAAACCTGCAATAGGTAGCCAGCACAGCAGAAGAGTTGCAGTATGTAGAACAAAACACTATTTTACTAAGTTTTCTTAAATGTGTCTAAGGAGATAATTCACTTGCCTTTCTAAAAGACTCTCAGGCTGCAGCATCTATATTTCTCTACACTTCCTTCCCTGTTTGTTTCACAGGATGTCTGTCATCTCACTATTTTGATTGATACTTTCATTGTACTATTCAGGAGTGTACACCACTTTTTGTATATATTGTCCAAAAACTAAAAGCATGAACCGACGTAAGTGTGTAAGAAGTTTCTCTCAGAAGAGGATACATACCTCTGGCAAAAGAAGTCAGTTTGATTTTATTTCCCAAACTTCATTGTACAAAGTGACTCTCAGTTTCTAGTACATACAGCAGATTTTTCTGCATTTTCAGACAGTAAATTTTCTCATTAAGCAACTCTCTCAGAAAATAACATGTCTATGAATACAGTTAAAAACAAAATTTTCCACTGTGGATCTTGAAATCGTTAAATTAAGATCAGCACCAGGCATTAAAATAACTGTGATCTTTAAAAAGATACTTATTTGGTCTGCACAGCCAAATCACTTACCGCTAGTGACGATGTACTAGTCAGTCGGCTGCCTATATAACTCTCATTAGTTGAACTGGGACTTCTTCCTTCTGTTGCACTATGTGACATTAAAGCCCTTCGAAGAGCTCTCTTTGGTGTTTTTGAGAAAGAAAATGCTCTTGTAACCTGAGGAGTTTGACAAGCAGTTATACACTGACAAAAATCCAGTTGCAGTAACTACTACAATATAGGCTACTGTTCAAATTCCGAACATCTGTAGGACGTGTCAAATGTTAATACGACCGTATCAAAACTAGCTAAACACTCCCCCCGCCTCCCCATACGGTGATAGGGTGATATGACTTTTAAGGCTCCCTATCACCACTGCTCTTCTCACTGTCCATATATGAACATGGGGTGGGGGAGGGGGATGCAGAGGGCAGAGATCCAGGAAAAAGTCAAAATAAGGTCCAGTCAGCTATGCTTCCCCACATTACCTGGGTTCTGCAAAGTCAGCCCCCTCTTTTATGCTGCTCTCAATTTAGTCTTCAGCAGCTTCCATGCTACAGCAGCCTCTACAGTTTTCTCTAAGAAACAGTCTCATCAACTTAAACATACTAAGCCTGCTCCAAGGCTGCTGAGAACAGGGAACGTATTCCTCCTTCCTGCACCCCTTCTCACATGCCAGACTTCAGTAGACTCAAACCCAGTGTGCAGATAACATGACAAAGCAGACCAGCAGCCTTCTTCCTGAATACCAGCCAGACCCTCTTAGAGGAATAGGGCACAGTTCCTCAGTGCATTAGTTGACAGCAGCTAAGCCATACCCAAAGATAAAGTGTACGCTGGCAGACAGCAGTGTTCAGCACTTAACTTGCTTGGTGTTTCAGAGGCTATTTTATTACCAGGACACACACACACACTACACTCATCCTACTTTTGGAGGTTCTTGAATTTAGATAATTTCATGCAGCATTAAAACTCCCTCCAATACACTAAAAACAGTTACAGCTGAGAGTTGGGGCATTTTTTGTAATATAGTTAAAAGATTCAAAAATATTAAACAAAGTTCCATAACAGACTCAAAAATGACTACATAATACTTAACACCATAATACTTAAGACCATATCCAAAACTACTCAGTCAAAACCTTGAACACTTTCCACCTTCTTTCTTTAAGGAGCTTACACTTAAGAGCTTTAGTTCAGATTTTTTCTTGTCACTACTGTAAGTACTACAAAACACCCGAAACAGGAATAGTAGCACAATTCCCTGACTAAAATGGGTTTTACTGTAAAGCACTATCTTTGTAGTATCTTACCTTTTTTGATGTTTTCTTTATCGCCCTGGATGCTCTGCTTAAAGTACTGTCCATATCTTTAGTATTTACTTCAACTGAGTCAGGATCAACAGTATAAATAAGATTTTCCTATAGACAAAAATAGTCTTAAGTAATGGCCAAATACCAGCGCTTGTAAAAATATCACTCTCTAGCTCATTAGATCACATTTAGAGGTTTTAATTACCATATTTAACTCCTAACATACAGCTAAGCAGTTATTTACTTTCATGCCATTTAATTAGATTAACTGCTGGTGCAATCAGTTTAAGAAACCACTTTATCAGTAGTTTTGCATTTGGTTTATTTGATTCAGTTTCAAGTAAAGGGTTGACCAAAGTAAAGGCACTAGTTCTGAAGTATACCTAGGAAGTTTCATGGGATACGTATCTCTGTTTCACTAACACATTTAGCAGTCCTCTAAAGTTAAATCTTGATAGACTTAATGTTTGACAGCTAGAGGTAAGTCTTTCAGCTCAAGCTCAAGAGGTATTTCAGAACAGCCACAAGGTCTGTTTCCTCCTGCCCCACCCCCCAACCCCCCATTTTTAAAGTCTAGCATGTGCAAAGCAATCTTTGGATAATTACGTCTAAAACTATGGGGGGAGGAAGGAGCATATGGGGTGGGGGTTTTGTTATTGTTTTGGGGTTTTAGTTTGAGAAAAAACACAGTTTATACCTAAAAACCCCAAAGTTTTGGGGAAAAAAAAAAAAAACAACCACAAACGAAATCGTAAGGACACCGAACAAGCTGCATGGATACTCCTAGCATCCAACAAAGGGTAGTTAAAGCTTTTACTGCCACCATGTGGCCAAGTCAACCATATCTCATTTTCACATGACTAGTTCTTGAAAACCAGGGAAAAGGGGAAGATTGCTGAAACTGAAGCTCAATCTGACATTTAAATCAGGAAGAAAAAAGTATTACATAGTTGGTACAAAGTAGTAATTACAGAAATTATAACTAATGGGTTTCAGCATAGTAGGTTACAATCTGTCAGCGTATGATTCTGAATGTCCTGGGACAAGGAGGAATGGTAAATTTATTACACAAAGATTGAATTTCTATTAAAAAAACACAACATTTTTCCATCCTTTTGTGTTACACATAACAAAGAGACTGAATATAGCAACAGACAGATTGAAGTAATTTAACATTTCTGAATCAGTACCTTTCCTACTGAGCACCTAAAAGGGAAGGAAAAGCACAATGCCAAGTTTCTCATGAGTAAGTCCAGACTCAGTCTCAAAGATATTTTACAGCCTAAATGACTCTACAATTCTATGACAAACCAAGCAACATAAAACTAAGATGCTATTCGGATTACTTAACTACCCCTTCCAAAACAAGCATGTCTTTAAAAATCAGACATCCAAATATTGTACAGTAAGAGCACAATGCAGAACATAAAATATGCCTTGCTCAAACCCAAATTGTTTCAGCTATAAGTACTCTGCACATATTTTCAGCCAATTTAGATGACTGATATGGATACACTCACACAATTTAAACATTAGCTGCCGTCTATTGCCATAACTGGAGAGGAGCTACTCTTCAAATTAAGTTTTCCAGCTATGGAAAGCCCATACTCTGAACTAAAAATGTGGGGCCAGTGCCTTTTTATTTCATTGTTTTATTTATTATTTTCTTGTTTTAAGGTGGCAGGCTTCTGTCTATAGGAGGAACATGCTTCATATCTCTCACATTATGGTGTTCAGGCAGATAAGCTACAGAACAAAGAATTCAACCTAACACAGTTAAAGCAAAACATACAGAATCATAATGCTGGGACCACAGACTGAAACATAGCAGTGAAACAAGTGAGCTGAAGACAATTCTGTTTAGATATACAGTGCAGAATTTAAACTATTTACAACTAATTTGTGATGAGGGAAGGTCACAATTCTCAATTTAAGTAATTAGCTTCTGCAAAAGCTAACTTCAGGCTTTTTTTTTCCTACCTTTTAACTACTCCCTTGCAGGCATGCTAGCACAAATGTTTTATGCTCTATTTCACCTCAAGCATGTCCACTATTAACAAGTTCTTTTGCTTCATGTGCTTCAAGCCAGAGAGAAACGTTTCCAATCAGCAATACGGTTCCAGAGTACTTACTGCATCTGCTTTACAAATAGTATTAGCCACATGCCGACACAACATCTTCAACCAGTCTTCTTTTGGAGGTTCTTCAGTTGTCATTTGGAAACTAAGTAGCTTGTTGTTGAGTTCTGTTGGTGGCCGCACAACTAAAGCAAAAGCTTTATGGCAATCTACAGTTCATAAGAAAGAGGAGAGGAAAGGAATTAGACATTTCTTCTTATAATTCGGGGGGGGTGGAGACAGAGGAGGAAAGGGGATGACCTTCAGAAGAGCTAAGTCTCCATCTACCAGGAGCTAGAGTTAGGTAAAATATGATTTGGTGCAAGGATGTCATCTTTATTTACATGATAGCTGTTTTATCACTTGCCAGAGTTCTGTATGCACCCTCCATCAAGAGGCTGCAATCAGCCATTTATGCAACAGTTGTTTATTTACCAAATAATCTGCATACTACAGTCAGCAGACTATTTTTACTGTATATAGCAATAAATATCAATTCATTCTCTAACTAATGAAATGTTGGCCAGATAATTTCTTTATGAACAGAGATCAAAGAAGAGAACAGTTACCCTGTTTTGTAAAGCAGGAAAAGGCAACAAAGACATTAGTACTATACATGATACACTTAAATAGTCAAGTTACAATGGTTTTACTGCTTAAACTTGACAAAGATTGCTCACTTGGTAGCAGAAAAATAACCTATTGCTGAAACCAGGATTTACTCCTTTATAGCAGACACAGCTGAAGCACACTAAGCACAGCTGAGAGAGAAAGGAAAAAAACCCACTGCCAATTCAGAAAAGCAGCACTGGACAAGCAATCCCATAAGAGTTCATGTAAGAGAGAGTAGCTGACCTCTCCCAAGATGTGCATACTAATACCTCCACAGATACTAAGTGCTATGCTTACAAATGACTCCCATCACCCAAGTCCCAAAGTAAACTTAAGTGTTGCACATTTAAGAGAATTCTTAACAGAGAAACGCTAACATACCTTTTAAAACATGCAGGCATTCATCACATTTACTACCTATACTCTGCTATTTCTATTTTTTATTGGGTTTCCATGTTCAGATGCTTCAGAGAACATAAAGCAGAACAAGTATGACTTGCATACCACCACCTACAGTGAAATATCAAATCTATCTTTTTAGCATATAGATTTAGGAACTGATCTGACCAGACTTCAAGTCACTATCAAGGCTAGAACAGTATAACAGTACGTGTTCTGCTGATGTAGCAATGCATTACTTCAGCGAAACCTCTACAGTCTCAGTATGGCAAAGCAGCCAGAGAAATTAAGTCATCTAAACCTTTAAGTTGCTAAGCACAGCTCCTCCTGAGCATCATTATCAACACAGTTAAATGAAGATTTAGTTTCACAGCAATAGCATTTGTCTCTGGTCAGTCTAACGTTCTGGACTGAAGTTTGGGGGTTGGTATTTTTGTTTTGTTTTGTAAATCCAGGGCTGTCAAGTGTACTCCTCCTCTGCTTAATTCTCACTGTCATTTGCTTGGCTTATATTAATGCCATTTAGTAGTTCAGCCAAATTCAGCATCCTGCAGTGATTCTTGAAAAGGCAAAATGTATCAATGCAAGGAATGCTCAAGCTCATACAGCACTTTAAACAGAAGCTTGTACTGGAATCACATACCTAACATACCACACAACACTGTTTCATACAGTGTTATTATCCAGACTGTGCTTTTGCCAAGAAAGGTTGGACCAGATGATCCTCAAGATCCTTTCCAACCTGATATTCTGTGATTATAGGAAATATACCTTAGGATTCTATTCCATGACAACCTTCATCCTTTATACTCCGAACAACAGTTTTCATTAGTTATCACAGCACTTCAAAATATACTGACCTTCTGTCTCCCTGATGTCTAGGACTTTCTTGATCTGGGAGAGAGGCATGAGAACAACATGCTTGAGAGATGCAGGAGGCCTTGTGTGGCCATGGGGACTCCTGAAAGCACCAATAACTTTATGCCGTTTCCTTGCAATCTGTGGTTAAATAGAAAACAAAAAAGTAAAAGGGTTTATTGCCACTGATTTGTCTTTTCTATTCTTTCACCTTCTAGTATACAGCAAGGCACAGAAAGCCTTGCTACAGAGAACACTCCGTGGAGTATTTTACCCTATGTACCACATAAATCTTGAGGCAACTTGCTTATCTCACTGTTCACTGTCCACAGTTCAAGTGGCCCAGCAATATTTGTTAGTTGGTATCAATACACTCACCTCAAATGTTTTTAGGTTTTTTTCTTTTGAAAAAAAGCATCAAAAGGGGAAGTAATTTTTCATCACAGACTTCAATTCTACTCTGCGTAACAAGCAAGGGCCCTCTGAAGCCTACCACAAGGTCATCTGAAGGCTTCATATCCTAGAAGTATCACGTGCTGTTGCTTGTGCATGCAGTCGTCAAGTGGATTTTGCAGTGGACATTGGTCAGTCAGTTTTTACTTCACATTAGCATGTAGGTATCTTATATGTGAGTCAATGAGAAACTTAACATGAGCAGGCAGTGTGTGCTTGCAGCCCAGAAAGCCAACCGTAACCTGGGCTGCATCAAAAGGAGCATGACCAGCAGGTCAAAGGAGGTGTTCCTGCCCCTCTACTCTGCTCTTGTGAGACCTCCCTTGGAGTACTGTGTGCAGTTCTGGTGTCCTCAACATACAAAGGACATGGAGATGTTGGAACATGCCCAGAGGAGGGCCACGAGTTTGATCAGGGAACTGGAGTACCTCCAGTATGAAGACAGGCTGAGCAAGTTGGGGCTGTTCAGCCTGGAGAAGAGAAGGCTGCGTGGAGACCTCATAGCAGCCTTCCAGTATCTGAAGGGGGCCTATAAGGATGCTGGAGAGGGACTCTTCACTAGGAACTGTAGTGATAGGACAAGGGATAACTTGTTAAAACTTAATCAGGGGAAGTTTAGACTGGATATAAGGAGAAAGTTCTTTACTGTGAGGGTGGTGAGGCACTGGAATGGGTTGCCCAGGGAAGTTGTGAATGCTCCATCCCTGGCAGTGTTCAAGGCCAGGTTGGACAGAGCCTTGTGTGACATGGTGCAGTGGGAGGTGTCCCTGTCCATGGCAGGGGGGCTGGAACTAGATGATCTTGAGGTCCTTTCCAACCCTAACTATTCTATGATTATATGTCCTTTTAAGTGAGCAATCTACAGTTGCTTGTATCTTGTACAAGACAGAAGCCAATAAGCTTTATTGAAAGTGTTTTCATTTTCCTCTTTCCTTTACAAGAAGTGATGAAGCAGAGTCAACCAGACTCCCAGGAAGAGCTCGTCACTAGTCACAACAACAGGCTTTTGTCTTTACATGCTGCTTAAGACAGCACTAATTTTGGATTATTATAGAGTTAGTCTTGTATGAAGACAGTGTTTTTACTGCTGTAGACAGTAAAAAGTACTACCATAAAGTATCTTTTACAACCTCTGCTTCTCCACAGAGGTCTCCAAAACCTATGTTAGATTACTTTTCCCTTCTAGTTCTTGCTAATATACTTTTTGTCTAAGGCATTTAATATGTGATTAGTCTTTTTTTTGGTAGTCTAAGCACAGACAGACCTGCCCCACAGTCCTACTGTCTACTCACATTATATATGACTAAACTTTAAAAGGACAAACATCCTGCTGAGCCAAGTTCTCCAGCACTTTTTCATCCACTGGTACTACTCAAAGTTCTATTCAAATAAACATTTGTTTCTTACCATACTAAGCTGCTTTTAAATTCTTTAATCTGGCTGCAAGACATAAAGGTTACATTAACACCTCCCAAACATCCAGAAGTGACTAGCTACTTGTGTTGGCTTATGCAATAACTAATGGAAAGGCAACATCGGCATGTGCTGAACTACCAGCTTTCCACGACTTAGAATTCTATTCCAAAGGTTTTAAATTTTGTTTACGTTCATATGTAGTGTCAAGCCTTTTACAAAATTCAGTTCATCATATATAAAGTCATCTTACCTCTAGGCAATCATTAAATAGAAAGAGTGTGACCTGTTCTCCCCTGTCACAGAGGTCATCACCAAGTGCTACAGTTTCCAAACGCTGAACTAAGCTTCGGTGAGAGGACAAGAGATTGGCCTAAGTGATAGAAGCAAAAAGCTCATTAAGCGTTTAGTTCAAGAGCTAGATTACTGCTTGCTTACAACTTAACACTGAAAATCTATTTAAATCAGCACCATTGCATTTTAAACTCACATACTTTTGCAAAGGGAGCAAGCCAGTGCACAGTCATTTCAGAGGTCTAGCAGCTTCAGAGAAATTACTTACTGGACATCCATCAACTTCATAGACAACATCAAAGAACTGCCTCTGTGCCTCTGTTTTTCTTTTGTCTTCATTAATATGTCTGAGGAAAGCATATTATATTTAACTTCAATATCAAGCAACAGCAAATGAATGCACTGTATTCAAAACATCCAAAAATAATGAAGAGAAACATTCAGAGCTCTAGTTTACACAGCAAAACTGGAAAAAAAATCAACCACTCTTGCTCATTGGCGTATTCAAATACCATATGCTAAGCATATAGGAAACTTCAGACCTAGAATATTCTTGTCATGTTATCAGTAGTTGACACACCATAAAGTTAATATAGAATTCCCCTTCCTTGCCCATAAGATTTTGAACTAGAGACCGACTTACTGCAGTTCATTATAGCCTGCATTTTAACCCTCCAAGTCAGGACTGCAGCTCACAAAGAAGCAGATGCAAGAATAATTACAATTTAAAAGTAATTGTTGTTAAAAATTGGACAAACATTTACCCATCTAATGCAGGCAGTCTCCATGCTGGAGACATACACTATACTTCAAAAGAATTGAGATTTACGGTCTGAACAACTTCAAATTTAAGCTAATTAACTCATGGCATGGTGCCATGACTAGCTAATACAGGACCCGAGAAGAAACTCATCTTCCATCAATAGCATGTCCTTTCAGTAGATGTTAAGCATAGAAGTAAAATTTAAAGACAAAACCTGTCTTTTCTGGGGGGAATAGACAGAAATAAGATCTGGAACAAAACAGAGAACTTGGGAGGTTGACCTTCATGCTGAGGCATGGAGTCAGCAGGGGTTCAGGTAGAAGTGCTGGGTTACAATGCCACAGAGCTCTAGCATAGAATGCCAGAGCAACAACAGCAGCCAAATGGAGACTAAAGTACATGTACAACTATGTATACTTACACAGAGACTAAAGTTATGGCAACAAGACACCAAGAGCAATTTAGAAGGAACAGAGAGATCCAGATATATAACAGTATGTTTCATAGAATGAACATCACTTACGTCATCACTTCCTTTAATGATTCAATAGCTCTCTCTAGAGTTATTTTATCTGGGTTGTCTTCTGCTGTATGCTTCTTAATATCTATAATTAAGAAAAAATAAAATTAAAAAAACAAACAAAAAACCACAACGCCCCCCCCCAAAAAAAAAACACAACACAAAAAACAAACAAACAAAAAACCACACAACCACATATCCTTGAGTCCAAATAACCTCGATTAAGTGGGGAGGTAGACTGAACAGCAACTGTCCATGCCTGTCAGGGCAGGGGGGAGGGGGAAGAAAAAAACACAGCAGAAAACCCACACAAAACACCTACAACATGAAACCAAACCTCAAGCTATTCAAAAATCAACAAGACTGTGTGCTATTTTTGTTGAACTGCAGAGACAAGCACAGAAGTCTTTTTCTAACTGAAGCAAAGGGTGTTGGTGCAGGTTTTATTATTTTTTACTAATGTACTCATTATTACAGCAAACAGGTGATACCAGGTGGAACACATGAAGCTGTAAACCTTGTCAGTATGAATTGCTTTCTAGTTTATGCAAGCTGCGTTTGAATCTCGATTACATTTGAGACAAAACTGTTGTCAGAGCAAACTTTTTGTCTACCTGTATCCTGCAACGAAATATATAAACAAGTGAAATTTAGCCAGAAGTATGCTTTCTTCAGTAATTAATCTCATTAAGCATGATTAACTCCAGAAAAGCAGTTACCAATTATGACCAAAAGCTGACATTACCTTGGTTTTAGCACTTTCACAGACAAACTAATACCAAAAAAAGAAAGGGAAAAAAACCCCACTAAATTACCATTTAGCAGTAGAGCAACACTAGGCAGCCTTTGAACAGGACGTATAAGGAGTTCAGCTAGACTTTGACGGCCACACTCAGGTTTAGCTTGATTTATCTGGGGAAAAGAAAGAGGAGAAAGGAAAGAATTATTTCTTTTTATACATATGCACAGAATCCCAAACTAGGAGAAAAATTGTCTTCCTTGAAACTAGCATTGCAGTAAAAGTTCAAGGATCACTTACCATAAATACTCAGTCATTAATATATTGGGTTTAAAAAAAAAAAACACATATTCAAATCTGCACAGTATTTATTACATTATTTATGCTCTCAATGTCTAGTTTTACATCATCCATATTATCAGCCCCTCAAGTCTGCAGATGCTAATGTGGGGTGGGATGGGGGATGGTCTATTCTCGTATTCATTCCCCATCTTTTAGATATCAATACTTGGATATAATTGCTGGTACCTCAGAAAACAGGAGCTCAACTCTTCCAAATCTAACTCAACAATTTGATTACTCCGCTATTAAGAGAGACACTTGTTGGATACAGAAGAGTAACTAAAGCGATGCTGCTCTATTTATCAACTATAGACCTTTACCCAAAAAGCTCAAGAGTCTTAAGACTAATCTTCAAATAACTGTCTTTGAATATTATCTTCCCATTAGATCTCCAGTGTTACATTCCTATTCACTAGTCACAGGAAGTTGAGCTATTCTACCTCCCTGGAACTTCATTGCTGCTAAAAACTAGTTAAAAACTATTTCAAAAATACAAGTATTTTAAACACAGAGAGGAGGACCAATAAAAAGCAGCAGCTCTAGTTATCTTCCCAGAAAAGACGTATTTGTGAGAAAGTAAGCAGAACATACTTTTCCCTGCAACAAATGCACATAACTAATCTACTTTGAACGCTGTATAAGAGGAGGAACCCGGACCTCTTAAAAAAGTCTTACAAGAAGCTTGAGGGATGGAACTTCAATCCCTCCCTATTTCTGTCTCACCAAGAGATGTTCTCATTTCTCCAAACTTCCAAAATTCCACATTTTTCCAACTACTGCATTAACTAGTTTACTTGGTAATGGTCTCTCATATTCTACACAAAGACTTAGTTTCGCAGACACTTACTTACCTTTAGAAAGGCATGAAACCTTGGCTTCTGTTTTTCACATCTAGTAATAGTCTCCTTACTCATTTCGAAGAAATTCACAAATGGAGGGTATGTTTTCAACAAGTCTTTTGACTGAAAGAAACAACTGTTAACAGCTCTGCTTTACATATTACATAGCATTATACACATGTTCATATGCCCTGAGAGCCAAACAAAGCTGCTCAAAGGTACATTTCAATAAATAATAATAAAGATAGTGTTGTTAATCCATACGTGTTCACAGAACAAGTCAAGGTAGTTTTGCATGCCAGATGCTGCTGATTAAATGTGGACTGCTTTCAGAAACATTAATTACACATATGACAAGCTTAGAAGACGCTGAGCAGCTCAAGGATAAGGTAGATTCTCACCTGGCAAGATGCGTGTGGTGACAACTTTGACAATTTCAGACAAGCGTTCTATCCAGTTACTGCAATCACGTTTAAAAGGCACTAAACCCCCAGAAGCAATACCTTAGACTGAAAAGTTTTGAATGCCAGACACTACTTGCCTCAAAATGGACCAGGTCAGCAAAAGCACAATACCTAGCAGATTACTTATATTAAAATGCATTACAGTCCCAGATCTAGCTTTCCTGTTCTGCACATTCTGTACTTGGGAAAACAAGGAGTCGTTACATATTTCAAGTCTTGAAAGAGCAACACAAGAAGTTTCCATGGAAAGTTATTTCCCTAGCTATTTACCATTGATCAGAGGCAGCAGATAGTCAAGGCTACAGGAAGAGCACCTTTTAATGTCCAAGTAAAAGCGCATCCATAGTGTTGCAAATTACAGTTCTCAAACCGTTTCTATTTGGAGTTTTACCCCCTCATACAAGTGGGCAGACTTTTAAACTTGACATGGATTACCTATACAGAGTACATCGTCTAACTCAACTGATAAGTCTAAACAGAAAATACAATTCAAGTTAGTTCTTTCTCACTCAGCAGTGCTTTGCTTTTATCTGCCAACTCCTATAAATGGATTGTTTGTAAGACAATAATATAACAGCTCATAATAGCACCAATGCATAAAAAAAAAAAAGAAACTGACTGAAAAACTTACATATTTAAGAACGATATCACCAATACTTTTGCTTTCAGTCCAATTCATCATAAGATCTTCCAGGTCTTCCTAGAATACATGCAGGGATAGTGGGGAGAAAATAAGATGAGAATGAACTGCATAAAGCTGTAAAGATGGGCTCAGTGTTCTGCCAAACATATATAATTAGCTATGTGTTTCATGCTGACAAAACAGGCAATCCTAAAAGCTGTACAAATTAAGCCCCTACAGTCTACTGAGAGCTGAAAGCAAGAGACTTCTGGTTTATTAAATATGTAGTTTTGAATCAATGCAAGCAGAACCTAGCCATGCTCAGCACTAGACAACTCTGCAACAAGAGGACACTACTTTGTCCAACACACTACAAAACATATCCCACAGGTTGATTAAAAAAAAATATATACACGCAAAAGACTGTTGAACCATTTCTAATTAAGAGTGCAAAACTAATACAGGACTCTTAAGTCCATAAAATAGGATTGAAATAGAACTAGCATAGATTTCCCTCACTTGCTGCACCAGGGTGTCAAGGAAAGAAGACCAAGCTGTTAAGCCTGTATCAGCTTAACAAGGATCAAGCTTATTCACTGTCAGCTAGTAACAGGGACAGAAGGGCACACCTGAAGGTTCAGGTTTCATCTTAAGTGAAAAGGATTCACCATTGATATTTGTTGCTGCCACTTCTCATATTTTATTACACCAAAGATGAAGGGAAATATAACCTAAATACTATCTAAGCAACTTTGTCTACACTGCATGCTGCAGGTGAATCCTACTTGACACATGGACACGCATACTCTCTACTTTCATCTCAACAGGCACATATCAATACCTATCATCATTAGACTGGAACCCAACAGTTGGAAAAAAAAAAAAAGAGAGAAAAAAAAGGCAAAAAACCAGACATCCAACCAAAAAAAAGAGAAACCAACAAAAAAATTTATATATATAAACCCCCACTCAGTTACAACCAGTCTGCAAGTCCCCCTATTTTAAAAGCCTACAGTGAAATGCAGACCAGAAAAGATATTTGCCATTATTTAAAGGAAATATTACAGCTTCATATTTGAGGAAGACTTGAATCACAGCCTATTGTGAGACCCAGAGATGGCTTCAGAGCGCACTTGCAGTCCAGATTGAAATACAAAATAAAGAAAGACTAAAGAAAACAATCTCATAGGAATTTCTAATCAGCTCTTTATCAGTCCTTAGTACAAGCCTAGCTGCTTCAAAATTTGAATTATGAGCCAGTCTCATGAACTGGTAGTTTCTGATAATTGGTTCAAAGCCATTTAAGGAAGGATTATTTTTTCCTCCTGAATGATAGTAGTCTCCTTATATGAAGATGTCTAAAGCCCAGGAAAATACTGATTTTTATTTTGCTGGTTTTTGTGCGGTTTAGTTTTGTTTGTTTTCTTCTGTGTGTTTGGTTTTGGTTTTATTTGTGGAGTTTTGTAGTTTGGTTTGGGTTTGTTGGGTTTGTTTTTTTTTGGGGGGGGGTGCAGGGGGCTGTGGTTTGGTTGTTTTAGTTCCATGATTTTAGCTTTCCTTCCAAGAGTTCTTGCTTACTGCTTTAATAGAAACATGTATGCTATAAGTACTTCTGAGGTAGTAACATTTGATGCCCACTGCCCCCTTTTAACCAGTTCTGTATCAGTTACAGAAAACCTCCTACAGGAAGAAGTATTAAAACAGAAAAGGAGAAGACAACTCATGAACAGCAGTATTAGTTACATGCACAATATTCAGACTTCAGATATTTATATATAAGTGTTATAACTTAAAGTGTACTTTGGATTTGCACCTAATTCCACAGGTTAAGCAGCAGGTAATAGCACCAGGATGAATCTACACCTATCCTGCCGATACAACTTGAAGCATGCAGAAAAGATTCAAGGTCTGTATCAATGCTTCCCTGCAGGGGAGAAGTTGGAGCTTGCCTTGATTTTAGTATGCACATCAAGAATATCTGGAATGCTGCCAAATATGGTCTTAATCTCTTCCTGTGCAAGGATTGGTCCCCCAAGTTGTCCTTCCTTTTCCAATGGAACTTGAAATAACTGTTGGATTAGACAAAAAAGTTAACGCTCTCCTAACCACCACACATTGTATTAGACATAGTTCTGAAAGCAATAGTGTTTCCCCTCGAGATTATACTTTCCTGCAGTCATAGTCTTGAGATACTCCCATTTAGCAAAAGCGAGTTATGGAGGAGTTATGCCATCTCTATATTCACCATTATCTTAAAAATCAGAGTGATTGAGATCCTATTTTCATGAAGTTCGGAATTTCCATACAAACTGCAATCCATTGCTTAGGAACTGTATTTTTCAGCCTTTATTATTAAGATAGTAAACATTTTCTTATGTCAGTAAGTTACATAAGATTGTAATCAATTTATTTAGAAGTAAAATTACACTGTTATCTTGTTTTAAACCTTTGACACACCCAAGCCCTCAAAAGCCTGAAGATCACAGGTTGAAAATAATCATTAATGTAAACACTAAGTGCCTACAATTGAGCAGTACTTGCTTTAAAAAAATCAGCTTACCTGAATAATTGTTGTTAGGATATCAACATAGTTACTTTCTGTCTGATACAATTCCTTTGCAACCTGCCATCTTGCAGACTGTTTTAGTGCAAGAGGAGTTGCATTTTTGGAAGGCCTTGCAGAAGAGTTTGGCGTTTCTGATGAGATATTCGCAAAAGAAAGAAAGAGAGCTTATTATAATAAAGTCCATAAAGAAAAACCCACCCTCAAAGATTTATGGGCAGGTCAATGATTTAACCCTATTATGCTTAATAGGAAATGAGGATTAGGTTCTGAATATTATTTATACATATGCTATGTACAAAAGTATTTTCCTACTTTCACTTTCCCATCAAAATGATTGTCTTTCAGCTGCCTATCATCCCTGCATTAAGTATGTAGCTCAAAAACAGTTATTAAAATCAGTCTTTGCATGAAATACATACACTTCATCTCATGGGGAAGAAAAGGGGGAAGACACAAGAAAGTAATTTTTCTTCAGGCTACAGCCAAGATGGACCTGGAACAGTCCATTAATTTTAAATACTTGCTCATGTATCGGCCCTTAGGAAACCTGTACTCACTCATTTTGATGTCAAAGTTCATTACTGCCAAAGTTACTATGAAGCAAGTATCTTAACCTGTTGTTTTCGAAACAGCACATTTTCCTGAAACTGTCTGCTGATGCTGGCTTATAAGAAAATTCCACACAAGGGGTTACAAAGGCACTAGCATGAGCTAAGAAAGCTGGTCTTTGAGAGTAAGCTGATCTTTCCAGTTCCTTCTTAATTATCACTTACAGATTGTGCCTCACTAAAGTTTCTTATTTGACTTGCATACATGAGCCTTTTTAAAGCAGTAGTGACTCCAGATACCTCCTCTATATGATGGAACTGGAGACTTTTTTTTTTTTTAAAGCTCAAGTGCTAGCTTTTGACTTCTCCAAAATTTTGCAGTTTCTCTCTTCCACAAGAGCTGGATGTGCAGAGATATTAAAAGCTCTTTGACAGTTATCTCAAAAACGGTGATTTAAATTCTTCAGAAGTTTAGACATGACAGTTTTCTGGCACAAAGAGTGTTACCTCAACAGAATGTTCCAAAGACCTATGATTTGGCTTTGCAGCTCTTTTCCTTTTAATTCCTTTAGCAAAGAATCCTTGCCCTCCTTTCTCCAAGTATCCTAACTAAAGAGATTTTTAGATGATTTACTCTTAGCTACATCACTTATTTGCTGCAGATTTTCAGCAGAGTATTTGAAGCATTGTGGAGTAACGCTGTACTTCACACTTAGCAGTTCCATATCTTCTCCTTGTTTTCCTTCGGATATGAATATGCTGTGATGACAAGAGGCAGCCCAGCCTCCGTCTGAACTCCTCACTCCAATTCTGATTTTGACATGCTTCAAAAAGGCAAAAGCCTGGGATTACTTTGCAAATCTGTAGCAAAATCTGTAAAACTTCCCTAAGACTTGTATGCAGAGAGCTCTTAAACATTGCAAGTGTGTCTGAATGAAAGGTTTTATCTCTACCTCCACTGGTAGTGCTCGACTCTGGAGTGTTAGAAATATCCAACAAGGACCCAATTGAAAGTGAATGTTCAGCTGATGGGCGTTTCCGAGGAGGGAATGGCGACACATCTGTTTCTCTGGTCAGCTGCGCAAGAGTCTCTTTCAAACGGCGCCTTTTGCGATTGCTGTTTGGAGTATTCAGAGAAAGTAGTGACACAGACTTCTTGAGACCAGGACTCTCTGACTGTAGTAAAAGAAAGTTTAGTGCTTTCACTCACTGTATCCCGCTCAGTTCAGTACAAAAGTAAGTGAATTGTAGAGATCAGCCCATAACACAACTGTTCTTAGGGAAGCCAAAGGAAAACAAGTGAAGCTATTTTCCTGCTTCCCAAAGGTTGAACTTGCTTTTAGTCAAACAAAACACTAGCATGGTTGTCAGTTAAAAATAAACAAATAAATAAATAAAGTCCAAATTAGCATTCTATGTATAAAATTCAGAACAGATTCTCTGGTACTTAAATAATGCTTTGAAACGTTTGATCTCTGGCCCAACACATACCATTGTGTATGGCAGTTTTACACCAGATACATGCTGCATGTCACACGAGAGTTCAACATACCTTTTCAAATAAATACATGGACTCTCCAGCTCTGGCATCCATTTGAATGCTTCCCCAGAACCACTAAAAGGAAAACAAAACAAAACAAACAAACAAAAAAAACCACATTAAGAACACACTGCAGGACTTTACCCAAAGTTAAAAATATTCAGAGTAATATGTATAATAGTAAGGCAAAGTTTGCATACTAAATACACATTTTTCAGAATAAGCCACAGGTTTGCATCTCACACATGGAGTACCATACAGCAATATTCTTTCAAGAATTTGCCAGTACTAACCTCTTGCTTTACAACATAAAGGTTTTTTAAGGGTTCAAATGGAAGATCTTTTACTGTATTTTCTTCAACCACTAAGTGCGTACACCTTTCATCACCAACTGGTAAACAGTGTCCTCCTAGATAAAAAAAGGCAAGTTAGCAAGACTGAATATTATTATTGTTAGAAATTATAGATGACTTGATAGTTCTGTGGCACCTGTCATTAACAGGAGAAGAACCAAAAACAGATGAATTCTTCAGTAACCTGACCAGTTTGGGGGCTTATGTAACATCCCAGCTAGTACCAGCAGTGGGCAGCTTTTAGGAAATAAAATAAAATATAATTTGCAGTAGTAAAGTACACATTGAAAAGTCAGAGTTCATGGCATTCAGGAAGCATTTAAATCTGTCTGGCAACAAATGCAATATTCTTCTGGAAAGCTTTCCTTGTTTCTTGGAAGAGCAAGCCAGGAACACTCACCCTAAAGACATTCACAAGCTAGGACCTGTGCATGTCACAATCTCATGAGGGAAAATAATTAAAACAAAAAAAAAAAAAAAAGAAGGAAAAGAAGGCAAGCCCAGACAACTTTAATCTAATTTGAGCCTGTAAGGAAGCCTGCTGTTACAAGCTTGCTCCATTCCCATGTCTGTAGTGCTGTCACATGCAACTCAACTTAAAAATCTCCAGACTTGTATTGCTAATTTGCTACATCATTACTGCCAATGTGATTATTAATATTGTAACACACTGCTGGAAACTGGAACACTTCCAATCAAGTGTTCTGACAGTGATGATTCATATCAAAGTTGTAAACATTGTAGATGCTTTCTGTGAATTATGCAAACATGCATAACTACAAAACTGGTTACAAAAACTGCAGCAGAACATACTATGTAGCAAGTTTTCCAGGATATCTTCAAGCATCCTATAATTACTTCTTTTTCAATTGTATAGTTTCAGTCTGACTAGGAAGTTTGAAATCTTCAACAGCTACCAGAACTTATGCATATACCAACATCTCAAAATCAATGTATAGCTCTCCATGTTCAAGAGACTTCATTAAAATATTCACAGTCTAGTATTTCAACTTCAGTGAAGTATTTATCAGCTATAAACCCCATTCTTTCCACAGGTCAATTTTCATAAACAATAACCTTGCATTTCTGTCATTTCTTCCATGTTAGCTTTCTCATCATCAGAGAATCCAAGGAAACTTAACATGCAATCCTGGAAGGGAGGAACCTTGAACTGATTTCTAAAGTCATCATCAGCTGCACAGAAATCACTGAAAGAAGAAAAAAATAAGTTAATAATAAAAAAAAATTAAAAAACACACACAAAAAGGTCACTAAATCAGTGCTACATCACTACTTAAACAAAAGCTCACAACACCAAAGGTGAACAGGATGCAAGGTTAAGGCTGAAGGCAAATAAACACCTACATTTCATTCCTTCTCTCCCACGCCTTATAAATCCACTCTGCTTTCACAATAGGTGTGCCAAGACTCACAGCAATCTACAAAACAGGAGAAGCACAAGTTGTACCAAGGGTTTCCATTTAAGTCTTTCCCATGCCAAGAAAAATTCATAACCTTGCTTTTATGTTAAGACAGATACTGCAAAAAGTGAAAATACTCCTTCAACTAACTCCCAAGAGTTAGAATGTATTAATTCTTCAGTGACTAGGAAATCAGATCAATAGTTATACTGACACTCACTCCAAAGGGCAGCATTGTTAGTCTCATGTCCTTTATCACTGACAAAAACACAAAAGAAAACCTCTGCTCTAGTGGAAAATGGGATCTTTTTTCTGCTTTTGACACTTTGAATCAAGACACACATCCCAACCTGCTTTTACCAAAAAGAAGGCAACTATTCCGAAAGGAACTTCCATGACTGTTTGAGAAAGATAGTAAAAATTTCCTACTTTTTCCCTTTAGGTTGACAGAAAGGAGTGTTTGATCAGAGTTAGAAACTGGAAGACTAGAAAGACTAGGAAAAAAAGCAACAGCCTGCTAATAATTCAAACAAGGGAGAGTCAAGGGACACAGGCATTGCTATATCGTATGCCATAGTACAAAAACCTACAAATTTGTATATACTTGTCAACTGGACATACATGTTCTGAAGTGCTCCCTTTTTTTTTTTTTGACAACACCAAAACTCACATACATTTATACATAAAGGAAGATTTGAACACTTACACATAAGAAGTAACAAATAAATTTTAAATAAGATGAACACAAACTGAATACTAAGGTTTTTTGCAAGTTACCTTAACCTTTACTGGACAGTCAAAAAAAGCAGGTATATTGATAAAAAAAAAACTTGTTCATTGCTGAACAAGTATTTGTCAATCTTTTCAGTACTGATAACATCAGTACTTAAGTACTTAAGCACTTAAGCATTTTGGTTATTTACTATACTTGCCTATTTCAAAATCCTCGCATTGGCAGGTTTTATTATTATTATTCTCCAACAGAGACAAAAAACATGTCAAAGCTCCACACCATGAGGCTAAGAACTCACCATTACAAGTTATTGTTGCTAGTACAGGAAAAAAAAACAGCAGTTTACCAGCTGAAGTATAATTTACAAACTTAGTCTACAAGAAACAAATTCTGGAATTTTCCAAAAAGTACAAGAGTACATACTCTGAATTTGTCTCCATGTGTTGAGTTAGCCACCAGATGTGTAACTTTTGAGCTTAAGTCCCTGCGAATAATTCCACCCATATGGTGAACCAAGGTCACCAGCTTAACCTGAAAAATAAAGATGAAATAAGTTTTCAGTATATCTTTTGAAATATACAGTGCAGAGTGAGAGCGATACAAAAATAGTTTACAAAGCAAGCCAACAGGTTACACCCAATGTCTTTGTGCTTAAAACAACTTGTTTTAACTTTATAAACCTTTTTTTGAACAGTTAATACAGCCTTGCTGTGTAACTTGAGGAAGACTACTCAAGCCACTAGTACTCTCATAATGATCATACATAATGCCACTACCCTCTCATACACAGTAGACTCAAAGCATGTTTTCCTCACTGATTTAGTCAGCTCTCTGAAGGGGCAATTGCCAGAATTTACACTGCAATTTTTCCAGTTTGGATTAAGCAGATCAAACCTAATTATCCCTAACACTGGATAAAGCTTTTGTTTTGCCTGGTTTGGTGTTTTTCTATTGGTTTTGGTTGGCTGGTTTTGGTGTTGTTTGGGTTTTTCTTTAGGGTTTTTTCTTCATTCCATGAAGACATGGAATCATAGTTGACTCCCAGGTGTGCAAGAGGGAAACTGGGTGTCACCTGCATCACTGAAATGCAAAAGTAAAGTGCTTGAGTATCAAATCACTTCATACTTAGACATGTCAAAACTGAAGTCCTGATAGTATGATAGCATGGCAGCAAGACAACATGTTTGCAAATGTTCTGAACTGGACTGCAAAGCTTTACTTCACCACTCTACTAACTGTACAAGTAAGCGGACACTGTTTGGTAAACATAATCATATCTAAGGCCTCAATCCACAAATCTTAAAACCCTACTGAACCAAAGCTGCTTAATATTGCTCAAAAAGTGACCAAAAATAGCATGGACAAAATTATTTCGAAAAGGAAGCAGTTTCATTCCCATCCTCCAATATCCCTGCCTTTGGACATGCAACAAAGTGAAACAGCAAACAATTCACCCCCTCCCCCACAAGCTCTAGTAATGGTTAAACCCCTGTGATTGAACAGAAGATTATTTTGAAAATAAACTTAACAAAGTTTTACCAATGCAAAGGAAAAAAATTGTCTTACTAATTCATCTTTCTTTCTGAATCCTGTGAAGCACAGTACCAAGTTCAACATACTTGCACAGTACAGTGGACGACAGGAAAAGGGTAAAGGCTGAAAATAAGAAGCAATCATATTAGTCAAAAGCATATTGCTTCCATTGAAGTTTTAATATAGTACTGTTGCTCCTAGCATTAAGATGCATCAGACACTAGCCCAAGTCTATGTATAGCCTTTTCTGTGTCCCTACCCATGGCAGGGGCATTGGAACTAAAGGATCTTTAAGATCCCTTCCAACCCAAACCATTTTACGATTCTGATTCAGTTATACCTCAGCTCCAAACCTGCCAGCATTCTGACAAAGTAACTACGGCATCCCCAAGTTCTACAGGTAATGCTCCATCCTTCTTTTCCTCTCCTCAGATCATCCTCTTTACATGATAACCTTTGGAAATACAAAGCATCTGCTGGAGCATTATTTGTATGCTTCATTTCATAATGGCACAACCCCAGTTAGTGGGTCAACGGCAACCACAACTACTGCAGCAGCTGTAGCCTTCCTACTGTCTTCCTTTGCTTTCTTGCTACATGCAATATTCTAATGCAATATAAGAAGCTTTCTTTTCTTAAATTCTCTTGCTAAAAATATTTATGAGATTGGCAGAGCAAAATAGACTCCATTTTGAAAACTTAAGATTTAGAACTCACTGCACCAGAGAACTACTCAGCTGACGCCAAAAGAAACACATACCTCTCCTTTTTGTGCACAGTGCAGTACTACTGGAGGTCCAATGACACGACAATCTGCTTTGCAGAGGTTGTTGAAGATAGAATCTTGAAATTCTGATACAACAAAGATAGACTCAAATTCTGGCGAGTCAGAATCTCCAAGTTCTTCTATTGTGTCTGTCTTTATGTAGGGCACTTTAATTTCCTTGATGTATAGGGATGAAGGGAAAAGCATTATTCAGGCAACATAGTTACACTAGTATCAAAATTCAACTGATTTTTATTTTTGGACCATTAGAAAAAGGTATGTTTCAGATTTCAACAAATTTGCTCTCAGATTCTGGGAAGGCTGAGATGCCCTGTTCTCTAGTATAAGAATAGGTATGAACGGCATCTAAACAGAAGTGTTAAAGCAATTTCTGCTTCTGAAGAATAAGAATTCTAGTTACTTTAGTAGTTTAGGTATCAGTTCACACTGATAATACAGTACTGTATTTGTAGGCTTTTCACATTAAGAAATGGAAAACACTTCTTACTCTTAAGTTTAAATACAGTTTTCCATTGAAAGAGAAGTCAATTAACCAATTATGAAGTCAGATCATAGCCAAAACTTATGTGCTGACTGAATAAAAGCATGCAGTTGAATGTCTCCATCAAATCTTCTATTCCCCGTTAGATAACACCACTAATTAAGAGCTGCAGATATTACTTCCATGTTCAAGAAAGTCTGTAAAAGAAGTGCCAATTTTGATGAGCTTTAAGTGACACCATCAGAACCATTAGCATGTAATATGACCATTATGCCCAATTAATATAGTGTGCACATTTAAGTCCCAGTGAAGTACAACATGCTGCATGCAATCACATGTGCTTAGTTGCATGACATACCATATGAATAATACTTTTTATTAGTTTTTCTTCTGCTTTACCAGGACTAGTTTTCTTTATCTTTATAACTGGTACTTCCATTATCTTAATGGTCTGTGGAAGAGGAGAACTTTAGTACAGAACCAGATTGGTAACCAGAAGTCTAAAAGCATACCATCTTATACCAGATGTTATGATATCTTTTTATCTTAGACCCACATACCTCCAAGGCTTTCAGAAGCTCTTCACGTTTCCCTGCTTCCTGAACCAAAACCACTCTTGTTTCTATTTGAGGCATTTCTTCTGTTTATAGAGACACAAAAGTAATATTCATATTTTAATAGAAAAATTCCTGTTCAGTCTAAAGCAAGCAGTAATTATAAAAAATAAAGGCAGACTGCATCCCTCCAAGATATCTTGTTTATCAGGAACAAGTCTGAAAATAAATGTTACCTCAAGAAGTCTTATTTAAGGGATACCTAACTGACCACAGCAATGAAATTTTCTACGATATGGTGAAATGAGATTCTGGAACTTACGATAATGGCTTGACTTCGCAAATGAAGATTTAGGAAGGGCTTTACTCACGCTTTTGCAAGTGTGAGTAAACCCTTCAGGCCTGCGCAGTGGATTTTTTAAGTGAGGTACAGTGCGCACAGAACTGGCCCCACACTTTACACCTGAGGTTTATCTGCCAGGGCCTAGCTACCTTGGATGGTGACAGAAAGAGTCTACAACTTATAACCAGTTACTTACAGTCAAAGCAAGAACATGCAAGAAGAGTTAGTGAAAGCAACAAAACAAACAAAAAAAAGTTAAAAAGAAAAATTGACTTAATGCTTCTAGCAGAATTAGATTCCAAGACTTGATGGAAAACAGCTGGTATCTTTTTTAATTTCTATGTTACTGTCTGACAAGGTTCATTACTTCCTAGTAATTGCTCAGTTTCACCATGGAATATCAGAACTGAAGTTAGGTATCTTGTTCTTTTTCTCCATGTATTAATAAGTTTAGGAGAAATGGACAAGTGTTGCCTTCATGTCATTTGCACCATAAGACTGCAACTGGATTTTGGTTACTGCATCGAAGAAAAAAAAAAAAAAAGGTTTTGTTGGGTTTTAATTTGAAGATTTGTTCTAGAATGAACTTTAAGCTTAAGACTACTCATCTCTTTAAGGTCTACCTGCACACAATAGAGCAGTAGTTCCAAACACTCAAAATATCACCTGCAATTACTCACTCCACAGAAGCATCAAATGGAACTAACAGCTTTTTATAAATCAGCCAGAAGACTCATTTGATTTCATGGCTGTAACCCCAAAATTCTTATAACAAGATGAGTGAAAAATTAAGACAGCCCTTACGTTAGTGAAAGGATACCAAACCAACACCATTTTGGCTACCCTACATTTAAGTCTAGAATTCAGCAAAGCACTTTCAGTTTTTCAAAACCATTACATACCTAGAGAGTAATCAGTCATTGAAAAAACATAGTAGTTTTAAAAGAACCTTTTCCCATTACCTTCAACATTCAAAACAGATCCAAGAGATACATCCTCTTTTGAGCTTTCTACAATTTTTGAATCAAGAACAGAAGAGTCAGACAAGAGGCTCCTCCCAGTTTCAGACACAAGCATACTGTTGTCAGCCATGATTATGTCTTGCTTCTTTCTTCAATAGCTAGAAGACAGATAGATGTGCTAAGCTAAGTTACAGTTGAAAAAAGCACAATAAGAGTTCTAGGACTAAAGCAGTCAGAAGTAATGTCAAACTTCCGAAAATAAAACATGTAGATGCTTATTAAAATCCCACTCACACTGATAGGGTAGTTCTGACAGAGTATTAGAGTATTAAAAACACACAGTTTTTAATAGAAACGACTGACAACAAACCTGTTACAAAAATGATTCTGAACAGGCTGCTTACCACAGAAATAATTTATTTGCACAGAAAGCTGCAGAGGGTACTTCAACTTTGAGCAGCAGGGAAGTACAAAGTTCATTTTAAAAAAGTTTTATCACAAAACACCAAGAAACTAAAAGCACTTATTTGCTTCACTGATAAACTATTATGAATTACATCTGAGACCAAGACTAGCATTGAAGTGAAACATTAGCAGAATGCTAATTCGTAGGGTACACAAAACATCTTGCTATTTTACGGCCCCCACCCCCCCCCCCACCCCCCCGCCCAGGTATACCGGTTACATAAAAATGACCAGCTAGGGAGTAGAACCAGCAGCATTTAACAGAATCATAGAATACTTAGGGTTGGAAACGACCTCAAGATCATCTAGTTCCAACCCCCCCTGCCATGGGCAGGGACACCTCACTCTAAACCATATCACCCAAAGCCTCGTCCAACCCGGCATTGAACACGACCAGGGATGAAGCATTCACAACTTCCCTGGGCAACCTATTCCAGTGCCTCACCACCCTAACAGGAAAGAATTTCCTCCTTACATCCAATCTAAACTTCCCCTGTTTAAGTTTTAACCCATTACCCCTTGTCCTATCACTACAGTCCCTAATGAAGAGTCCATCCCCAGCATCCCTATAGGCCCCCTTCAGGTAGTGGAAGGCTGCTATGAGGTCTCCATGCAGCCTTTTCTTCTCCAGGCTGAACAGCCCCAACTTTCTCAGCCTGTCTTCATACGGGAGGTGCTCCAGTTCCCTGATCATCCTTGAGGCCCTCCTCTGGACTTGTTCCAACAGTTCCATGTCCTTTTATGTTGAGGACACCAGAACTGCACACAATACTCCAAGTGATGTCTCACAAGAGCAGAGTAGAGGGGCAGGATCACCTCTTTCGACCTGCTGGTCACACTCCTTTTGATGCAGCCCAGGATATGGTTGGCTTTCTGGGCTGCAAGCACACACTGCCCTCACACAGAAAAGAACCAAAGTCAGAACGCCATCATTACAGCATTCAAGCAGATCTGAATGTCCTTACAGCATTACACTTAAAAAATTACCTCCCAGCAGGTTGTGGAAAGCCTTAAGGTTGCAAAGCATTAGCACACTAAAACGTATGTAAAATGTAGGGATTTCAACCCGAGGAGAACACATGTAAAAGCTTCCCATTCTGCCCATTCCTTCCGGAGGAACCATCCAAGAGAGTCATCAGGCCGCACTGCGAGGAGGTGGCCGGAGGCGAGATGAAATACCACCAGGTGCTTTCATCTCAGGAGCTAGCAGGTGCCTGCGGGCCAGGGCCTCCACCCTGCCCAGAAAAGACCACAGCGACCTCCAAAGTGGCCGGAGTAGCTGCCCCGTGGGCCCCGTTCTCATGGGAGCCCCAGGCACAGCCCCAGGCCCACCTCGGCCGCCGCACCTTCCCCAGCGCACCGGCACCCTCCGCCGTCCTCCACGAGCTTTGCCACCCAGCTCCGCGTGCCTACGCCACACCCGCCCGATACCGCCGCCAGGCCCCACTGTCCCCTCACCGCTAAGGCCGACAACCGCAAAAACAACCTCCTCCATGAGCGACCGCCACCAACAATTCAAAAAGCGAGCCGCCGCACTAAGTGCGCCACGCATTGGCTGCCAGTCCCACCGCCCCTCTGTAACCCATCACCTCATTCGCCATCTCTCTAAGTTGTCCCGCCCCCTCCCCTCCTTTTTGGGACATAGCTTCTCGCCCTTCCCTCTTGGATTGGGTGCTATATCTGCCGCTCATATCTGGGAGGTCTCCCATTGGCGGTGGGAAGTTTCCTGGGCAGACTACCAGGCCTTGTTGACAGCAGGTTGTTGAATGGGCGAGGGATGTTTTATGCTGATTGGCTGTCGGGGGGTTCGAACGCTTCCAACGGCCGCGGCGGAGAGGCCCGGATGGGGCGGTAGCGGGCAGTGGTGTCCGCTGTCGATTCGAGGCGCTGCCGGCTGATGTCACTCTGTGGCTGCACGGAGATAGCGGTTAGCAGCCTGCAGCGGGTGCAGGAGGGCTCGTGTCTCGGCGAACACCCGCGGCCCGGCCAGACCCGGCCCCGGCTCCCCTTATCCTGCCTCGCGTCCCCGTCGCAGCTCCCCTCACCCTGTCCTGCCCCAGACTGTCACGTCGTGTGCTCTTCCGGAGAGCACAGCTCATCCAGCTGCCCTTCACCCACCTATGGACATTATGCAAAAGGAGGACAAATAGTTACTGTGGCTGCTATGAAATATATTAATGCTATTAATAACTTAATAAGTGCTGCCTTGCTGAAGGTATTAGCGTGCAAATATTATGCTGAGTTTCAAAATAATCATAGGAAACAAGGGAAGAAAGCTGACAAGAGAAAATACAACAGGTCAAGGTGAAACTCAACCAGCTGACTTGATCACCAACCACAAAACAGGTTAATTATAGAAAATTCTTTACCATCCTTTTTAATTTTCTCTTAATACTAAAACCTACTGATCTGGAAAGGAATTCTTACACAGGGGCTCAAGCATTTCTGAAACTTGATTTAGCATAACATTTCACTGGCTCAATGTAAAAAGAATGAGGTATATATTTTCTATTTCTGCAATTTTCTATCTTATGCTAAATTATATGCCAAATTGAGTTCTTAAATCTTATTAATTTTGATACCATATCTTAATACTTACATATAACTTAGGATATATAATTATATCCTAAAATACAGGGTTTTATTAGTTCAGGCATTTTCATGACTGATGCAGCAGCTGTGAGAATCAAATGACTTAGTATGATTTGGAAGAAAAAATAGGAAAAAAACAGAATATGACAATAGGTGTTGTTTATGTGAATAAAGATTTGCTGGCGAGGTACTATTAGAATCATAGACTCACAGAATAGTTAGGGTTGGAAAGGACCTCAAGATCATCTAGTTCCAACCCCCCTGCCATGGGCAGGGACACCTCACACTAAACCATGTCATCCAAGGCTCTGTCCAACCTGGCCTTGAACACGACCAGGGATGGAGCATTCTCAGCTTCCCTGGGCAACCCATTCCAGTGCCTCACCAGCCTCACAGTAAAGAACTTCTTCCTTATATCCAATCTAAACTTCCCCTGATTAAGTTTTAATCCATTACTAATGAAGAGTCCCTCCCCAGCACCCCTGTAGGCCCCCTTCAGATACTGGAAGGCTGCTATGAGGTCTCCACACAGCCTTTTCTTCTCCAGGCTGAACAGCCCCAACTTTCTCAGCCTGTCTTCATACGGGAGGTGCTCCAGTCCCCTGATCATCCTCGTGGCCCTCCTCTGAACTTGTTCCAACAGTTCCATGTCCTTTTTATGTTGAGGACACCAGAACTGCACACAATACTCCAAGTGAGGTCTCACGAGAGCAGAGGGGCAGGATCACCTCCTTCGATCTGCTGGTCACACTCCTTTTGATGCAGCCCAGGATATGGCTGGCTTTCTGGGCTGTGAGCACACACTGCCTGCTCAAGTTTCTCATCGACCAACACCCCCAAGTTCTTCTCCACAGGACTGTTATCCTGAGGATAATATTATCCTCACGATCCTATTAGGAGTATTTTCCTGAGGAAAGTATTTGAAAATAACAGCCTGGGAAAGAAGGAGGTCAATTCAGTTTTGACACATGAGTCAGCCAATTTTTACACAGTCCCACAATTATGTTATTTCATATAGAGAATTGCAACAATGACCTACGGTCAAAATATAGCCTAACCCAAAGTCCTGTTGTCACTCTGAAATACCAGTTTGGACCAGGATTTTGTGGTGCCAGGCCATGCCAACCTGCACTGGCTTTCGCCCTGTTCTTTCTTCTCACTGTTACAAAGTCCTTTTCAGCCAGGTCTTAGATTTCCTTCATGCCCTGAATCAGCGATCAAGTTTCTCCTCTGTTTGGAACAAGTTCTGCAGTCTTGGAGTCAATGTTGTTTCTGCACTATAGCTTCTGGAAAAGCTATTGGTGATTGCACATTAATTTCCACTTAGTCTCTACAACTTCAAAAAAGCAATATAAAATGTTGTGCCTGCAAAGACAGGAGACATATGTTTATTGGAGGTGGGGATTAACAGCCGATACATGCATCATTTCTCAGTTAAAGTTTTAAAAGAATATAGGGGTACCTAAACGTTCATTATGTAAATACAGGCTCACTATGTATATGAAGAGTGACTTGGACATTAGCAATTTCTTAAATACACTTGAAAATTAGAATTACAGTCTCATGAAGCAACGAGGGTATTTTCATGAATCATTGTAAGCTATCCCTCCTGGGACTGACAGAACGTAGACGAATTTTCAGTAGTAATCACTTAAGAAAAGTGAGTAAGATTTTTTTAAATCAAGTGCATTTATCCTAGAATCATAGAACAGTTTGGGCTGGAAGGGACCTTAAAGCTCATCTAGTTCCAACCCCCCTACAACAGGCAGGGACACCTTCCACTAGACCAGGTTGCTCCAAGCCTCGTCCAGCCTGGCCTTGAACACTGCCAACGTTGGGGCAGCCATGGCTTCTCTGGGCAACCTGTGCCAGTGCCTCACCACCCTCGCAGGGAAAAACTTTTTCATTGTGTCTAAACTAAATCTCCCTTCTGTCAGTTTAAAGCCATTTATTCTCAATAGAGTTTAGATCAAGAGTGATGACAAAAATAATTACTATTATTTGTATGTCTGACGTTTAAAAATCAAAGTGCTTTTCTTAAAAAAGGCTCTGAAATAGAGACACCTGTTGGCTTTTTTTGTGTAAAATGTAACATGCAGTTGAAACTCATTCTTCCTTCCAGTCACCTAGACATCAGTAACCCAGAAGTATAACATTCATTTAACAGTTACTTTCCTCTCCCACAGGGAGAAAGTTCCAGGAGATTCAATCATTACATGAATCCCATCACATCCACTTTGTGGGAGTAGGGATCTCACACTTTGTGGAAGATAGACAATGAGGCTACATCAAAAGAGCTGATGGAACCTGGAGAGGGCTGAAGGAGACCTCATTGCCCTGCGTTGTCTCTGGAAGGTGGCTGTCCAGCAACTGCTCAGTGGCTTCAGGCTGTGAGTTTATGTAGATAAATTGCTTGTCCCCTAGATATCTTGCATTTTGGGTTTTAAATTATTTTTTCTCAGATCACCAGTGTTTTATTTTTTCAACCAACTGACTTCTTTGTAGGTGCCTAGGAAGCAAAACCAAACCAAACAAACCCCCCTCCCCCCCAAAAAAAAACACCTCAAACCAGATTCCTCAAAGAGATACTGATTCAGTTAGCTAGAGCAGCAGCTTTCAAAATTTGAGCAAGGGGGCATATCAAGCATGGGGGTTAGTAGAAGCATGAGAAACCCCAGAAAAATTCCATTCAGCCTTTTTATGTCTATTTCAAGGAGATAAGTAGATGAGAGAGGAGTTGAACAAGCCCCAGTTTTGCTGGAGGTTTGGGAACAATGACTTTTGATGGAAGAGACAGGTACAAATTATTACACTCAGGGAATCTGGGTGTGGACTTGGGAAAGCAAAGTAATGGGAGTTTGCTAAGCAAAGGGTGCCAGGGGGCAGGATGCAAGGTAACAGAGAACATGGGAGCACAAAATGACACAGAAATGGGTGACTCAGTACAAAAAGCTGGAGGCCTCAGGAATCTCATAGTGTGTGGCTTTCTTGAGAATGCTTGTTTCCAAGCTGCCCTTTCACAATCATAGTCTGCCCAAAACTGACTGAAAATTACAGAAACTCCATCTGCTGTCGTTATGAAAACAGGGTAAAAATGCATGAGCCTTATTTCCTCACAAATTCCAGAAACTTGGTACTGTGACCTTTAGAATCAGTGAGGTTTTACTTCAGTTCTGGTAAAGCTGGCTTAAAAGCTGACCTTTTACTTAGAAACATATTTTTCTTTTATTACCTTTCCATATCAGTTTTTAAAGGAAACTTGTCCTTTCTAGGACTCTATTTACATTTCTATGTGACTTTTTAATATAATGAGTTCACTTTTAAAAGCAATGTTATTTTTAAAGTCATATTGTTCATTCTTTTTTCCACATTAGGGTCATAATGCATGTGAACCTGGCTATTTAAATATTTTATTTTGTTGAAGATAGGACCGTGACTAAGCATTAAGTAGTCCTTTGTGTCAAGGCTGAACTCTATAGTGCTTTTATTTCCTGCACGTTGGTGATGGAAAAGTCCTATTTAGAAAACTTAGGTACAAATCAAAATCTGATACTGACCCAGGGTAGAAAAATAAAAAATAAATTCCCAGTCCAGTATAAAGTTACAAAAATCTCCTTTTTGGAATTGTTTTGTGATGTGTTAAATGGGGAACTATTTCTTCAGCTAAAATAAGGGTGTCCCTGAGTTCCTCCTGGAAACATTGGATCTGGAATTGCAGTGTTGACTTGATCCCTTTTACAGCCTTCATCCCACATTCACAGCCTCTGGGCTCTGCAGAAGGGCAAACTCTGCCCGAACACTGATGTTCCCGCACACTGATGTTCCTGTTCTCTGTGGGTGAGGAGCTGCCACTGGACATGTTCTGGTGTTACAACCCCTGAATATGAGAACTGGTGGGGATTTTGCTCATGGGTCAAGCTCGTTTCGGTCCGATGTGCCACACAGAAGCACACTGAGATGCTTAGGTCGAAAGTGGGCAACAGGACGCAGGGCCTGGGCGAGGGGGAAAAAGAGTGCAACACTCTGGGTTTGGGTGGCCACTGATGGCCCAGAGCACGCTGCAGGAGCCCACTCAGCCCACGGCCCCGGCAGGGCAGCCTCGTGTGGACCGGCTGGACGACGCCAGCCCGGCGACTCCAGGCCCAGGCCCAGACCTTTCCCCCGGGCGACCCCGGCCGCACGGGGGCAGCCTCTGGCAGCCATGTGGACCACTGGCAGCCAGGCGCCTGCCTCAGGGGCGGTGGCTGTCCAGTGCCTTCCCGGGCGGCGCAGCCAGCTGCGCGGAGCGGCCTCTCCGGCGGGGAAGAGGCGGGGTGGCGCTGCGAGGGCGCCCAGGGGAGCCTCCGACCAGGCCGCCGCCCGCCGGAGCTGGCACACAGCTGGCGGGGACGGAAGCGCTGGGACTTCCTCCGAGAGAGGCCGGCCCGGGGGCGGTGTGCGTCCTGCGGGCAGCCGCGGCGAGGCGGCTCCGCGGACCGCGGTGGAGGCGGCGGCGGTAGCGGTCGTGGTCGTGGTCGTGATGCGAACCGCCTGTGTGCTGTTGGCGGCGGTGGCCGCCCTGGCTGCCTACTACGTGTACCTGCCGCTGCCCGGCACCGTGTCGGACCCGTGGAAGCTGATGCTGCTGGATGCCACTTTTCGCGTAGTGCAGCAGACGGTAAGAGCTGCACCGGCCCCGCCAGCGCTACGGCCCCGGTCTCGGCTCCGGAGGGAAGGACAGACATATCCCTCCCTCCCTGCCTCCCACCCTCCATGCAGCGGGCTCGGTTCTCGCTCCAGTGCCGGAGGTGGCTGGAAGCGGCGGCTGCGCCCGCGGGTTTTGATGTCAGCCCGGGAGGAGCACGCCTCGGGCACCGGGGAGCCGGAGCGGCGTCCTCCGGGGCAGGGAGGGCCCCGGCTGGAAAGCCGTGCGGTGGGCAGCGTCTTGGGGTTGAAGCCGAGGAAGGGGGAGCCTCCAGCATCGGTGACATCCGCGGCGGGCGGGAGCCGGGGTTGGTCGACGCTGTAACGGGTGTTACCGCATGGAATGGGTTTCGAGCTGAAGGCAGCGGGCAGCTCAGGGGCGGGTCGCCCGGTGCCGCTCGTGGTTTGGCCGTGGTTAGAACATCAAGCGTGTGCATTGCCTCAACAGAGAAGGGCTCCGGGAAGACCTCATAGCAGCCTTCCAGTACCTAAAGAGGGTCTACAAGAAAGCTGGAGAGGGAATATTTACAAGGGCATGCGGGGATAGGACAAGGGGGAATGGCTTTAAGCTTTAAAGAGGATAGATTTAGATTAGATATTAGGAAGAAGTTCTTTACTGTGAGAGTGGTAAGGCACTGGAGCAGGCGAGCTCTTTCAGATATTAAATTGCCTTGATCTGGAACCTTATTACTGAACACAACTCTCCGAATGCTTGATTTTTGTCACAAGACAGTTGCCGCTTCATGAGGGCTCCCTTATTTTCTGCCAGTGTGTTTCTGATTAGATGAAACAGAGCAGAAATCACAAACTTTATAATAATAGCTTTAGCTGTGAACTTTATTCTAGGATGGTTGGATCTCTTACAAGGACTGATCAGTGATGGTCAGGCCTGATGTAAGGAACTATGTACGTGAAAAATTGTTTTCTGTTTTGGGGGATTTGTTTGGGTTTTTTTGTTTATTTGGGTTTGGTGGTTTGTTGGTTTTTTTTTGCTTGCTTGTTTGGGTTGATGAGGTTTTTTTTAATTTCTTACCAGCAGTTCAGTTTACTAAATTTGTTACGAAATGTACAAAACCCAGTACTCTGAGTGAATGAGAACATCAGCATATTCAAAAAAGATTGAGTTAATGGACAGAGGGCCCGTAAATTGATACCAAAAGCATTAGGTGGAAATGTACCTTCTGTGGATGCTGGGAAGCATGTGGAGAGTGGACCACACATTGTCCAGACTTGTATATTCTGCCTCAATAGCTTCTCTGGTTGCCACTGTTGGAGACAGAGTCTAGGACTAGAAAGACCACACATCTTCTCATGGTCCAAATGTATCACTGAATCAGTGTGTTATCTTTAGGATGAAATAAAACCTGTTTGCTTGTACAGGATAAAACATGTTTGCTTGCATACCTTCCCATATGTCTGCTATGAAAATTATGCAGATATGGCCTACAACAGCTTCATTCATCTGTAAAATCTATGGCTTGACTTTCACTTCGTCCATGTTTTTAACTCAACTAACTGAATAGCAAGCGTTTAGCTTGACTAAATTCATTGATAAGCATGGATAAAAGAGGCATGATGCCCCCAAAACATACTCTCTGTAAAACTTCCCGTCACAGCTCATCCAGGAACACCTAAATCAAGGCTATAACCTCTAGCTGAAGGAGACCTATCTTTAGAAGAATCATATGACTGACTAGGTATATTGCCCTTGGCTTATGTACACATTCAGTTTGTTTATGTGATATGTTGGCTTCATCAGATGAATTCAGGTGCCTCTAGTTTGGAGGCTGGTACCTCTTTTGGGATATTCTAGAAGTCATAATCCCAAGAGGATCTAGCAGAAAAAAGCCTGACAGGTGGCAGCTGGAGCTAGCTGGCAGGCAGGTCTGAGGTGCCCACATCTGTTCTGGCATTCTGGGGTGAGGAAGTTTCTATTAGGTGAAAGTGGCAATTTTTTAGTTGTTTACATATCTGGCCTAAGAAATACATAGTTCTGTAGTACCAAACAAGTAACAGTTCCTGTAATGCAGCTTACAAACCAAATGAAGGAACAAGTGAGTTTTACACAGAGAAGCATAACAGCAGTGAGGCATTAGCGGTGCCCGGAATCATACAACAGAGATTTGTTTCTAGAGAGAAAGAGAAGGTGCTTTCCAAGTGTTGAAAAGCCTTTCCAGCACTGAAGGACAGCACAAAGTCAGCAATAAATGACTGCCATTAAGAAGAAACTGTGTGAACTGCAGCTAAGGTTGTAAAAGTTAAGCTTGAGTATTTTGTTAGTAGACAACTTTTGTCTGTGTATAGAAATTAAAGTGTATGTCCTTTTGCAGAGCTTAGCTTCCCTTTTCTTCATCTACAGCTATTGCGAGACCAAATGGTTTAACATTTCTCTAAATGTGACCATTGAACTTTCACCCACTTCTGAATGTATTTTCAGCTTGCTATTTATTACTTTCCTTTGTAGGTTTGATAGCAGGCAGAAGTACATTTCTGTTTTTAAAATCTCTGAAACGTACTGTAATCCTTTTTTGCCAAGAGTATGAAACAAACTTCATGTGCTTCAAATACAGTTGATTGTCTTTTGCTTATTTTGAAATAGATTTGTGAAGACTATTAAGCATGACAATTTCTTGGATAGAGATATGTGTTTGTTTTCTCAGTGCACTAATAATCACTACCAATAAAACATAATAAGGCCCTCATTGGCTTTCAGCATACTAATTATAAGGGGTTTGTATTTCCATACAAAGTTTTGTCCTAGTCAGCTACAATATGTTTTTTACAAGCTTGGGACTGACTCAGTGTCCTGGCTCAGCAGGAGACACTTCAACAAATGTTCAAGTATAATCACATGGTTAAAAAAATGCATAATGCTTATAGGGCAGTTTCTGTAAGTAGGTTTAAAACGTACTACAGAAGGGGACCAGTGTTGTTATCCAAATCTTAAACTGGGGGGGACAGAGATAGGAAGAGATGGAGTGCCCAATCTCAAAAATTCCCATGGGGAAGATGGAAACTGAGGTGGGTTTTCAGGGCCTTGTTCCTGTGCCCTCTTTAATGTCCTGTGCTTCCCCAGTCTGAAAACAGAGAAACTTAGACTTTAATAATATAAATAAATTGATGTGAAAGTAGTTAACTGAGAATGAGAGCAGTTTGGCCCTCTGACATGCCTCAAAATGGGACATGGTAACACTTTAACAGAAAACTGTGACATAACACCATTTTAGATCAGAAATTAAAAACTGCCTATGTATTTATACAGGTGTGTTAGACTTGGTTTCACTGAAATTTGGACAACCACATAAAATGGGATTGAACCATAGATTAAACCATAGCTATTTGTTTTACTCAGTGTCTGTCAAAAAGTGTCTAAAGCAACATTTCAGAATTCTGCTGTTAACAGCAGGATTGATACAGGCATTTTTTACTTCTTCCTCTAACCAGTCTCACTTATTGCAGTAAAGAGAACAGTGTATGTTTATTTAATAAGCCCTTTGGAAAAGGTTATTTCTGAACACCTACTGTTATGACACTTGGTGTTCTGGTGCATGGCAAGGAAGAAGGGATTTTTTTAACTGGGACAGCTGTTAGCAGAGGTTTTGAAGGAGAGATTGGTTGGCATGGAGGCCATCAGGTAGACGCATATGGAAGAAGGTAGGCTACCATACAGGGGAGAAAACTATCCTTGTATTTGTCCTCATCAGCCATTCCTTCATGCTTCTCCGCCACTTGCTATCAGAATTAAAACTAGGGCATGGGACATCAACATTCAGGGTTACAGAAAACAGTAATTAGTTTGTTCTAACATTTTGACATTTTTGTACCCATATATTTCAGAGTGTGTGACTTCTGGACAGATGTAAATCCTAGTTGTAGCCAGCCAAGTAAATAGTTGATATTTTTACATGCAAGAACAGGCCTTGAACTTGGTTTACAGTAAACCAAGTTGTTAGTTGTGGCAGGTGGGTCTCAAGGCAGTGGTACCTGAGCAGAAAATGAACCACACTGGAAATCCTATTTGCAGTAACAGATAACTTTTGTCTCTACCTAGTATAAAAGCAGAGCATCATGGGTGAATAGGTATATGCACAAAACCTTACATTAATATACAATCTCATTTCTGCTTCTAATTAATAAACTGTAAAATGGTTGTTTTCAGTTCTAAAGGAAATTCATCAAACTAAGAGCACTTGTCTTTGAGGACTGTCTTTCTGTCTATATAGCAGTGTTAAAACCACATACTCTTTACTGGGCAATAATTCACCTGCATTAAGAAATGATTCCATAAAATAAAACAGACATCCACCTTTAAACAGGATAAACTTCCTGAAATGCACACAAAACAATGTTCTGCACACAGCTAAGTGGGGAAATGATCCTGTTTATTTTTCACTAATCTGTTATCGACTACAGATATTGTAGTTGGCATGTTGGAATGCATTTTGCAAAGTGATTCCAGAACTGATGAGAGTGTCTGCATCTTTTAAGCTAGGAAGTTTAGTCTTAGAGAGTTCAATTGCCCAGTTCTGGCACTATTACTCATTTGAGTCATGAGTGAGATTTGGTTTATCCCTGAGTAGTGTTGTGTGAAAAAGGAGCCTTAGCTGTGTGCTTAATTCCTGATCTTGACAAGGTCTGAAAGCTCAGTGCAGGACCTTGGGCCTGACCAGCTGTGAAAGCAGCAGAGGAAGCAGCTGATGCTTTCAGTTTGGCTTTAGAGGCTCACTGCCTGTATGTGCTGTCTGAATGTGACCTGTTGCAATAATTTCATGGCCAAAGGTCAGAGATACAAGCAAGACAATGTCAGCTGTGGAAGTCATACAAGGACAAAGAATCCCAATGTGCCGAGTACTGTTAGGGGTTAGACATTAGCAATAGAAAAACTTTACGTAATTTTTATTTTTTTTTTTAATATAGAACACATGACTAATATGGAGTACAAGTCCATGAGGGAGGTAAGCATCTTAGCAATGAGCCTTTACTATTCTTCATGAAATTACCAGCTGAGGAGCAAATATAAGAATCCTAACAGTTTAGGGACTGATACTGGTGAGTAAAGATGAAGTAATGTTGGCTGTCTAGAGCAGTATTTTGTCTGCTTTTTATCAGCAACCCTGACTCTTTTCTCCATTTATTGAAAACATTCACCTACATCAGTTAAATATTTAAAGATCTGGCAGCCCTCTCCAAAGAATCCACAAGGAAGAAAGTGGCAGTCTTTAACGGTTTAGTCTGTAAGGGTTTCCTGGGTTGTCCTTACCTGAAAACCCCTGCTATAGGGACGTCCTGGTAAAACAGGAGGAGGTTGGGGCTCTAGTGTTTTCTTTGCCTGACTTGTTGGAGAGCTGGGAAGCATTACAGTGCAAGTGTAAATCAGACTGCTGCCAAGGCAGCTATGGATCACAGGGAGCCAACGGCCCCAAAATGTAAAGCTGCAATGGGAAATGAGCAATAGTTTGTCATTAGGGCTAACTGTATGATGTCCACAGGTGTTATTTGCTGAATTGGCTCAAACACCAGCAAAATACATCTGCCTCACCAGCCTGTCCAGCCTTCCTCTCCTGGGGTCCTCATGCTCATCCATCCATCCCTGCCTCACTTCCCAGCAGCTGAGCTCTCTCCATGTATGTCAGCCCATTAGTCAGTCCAGCCCATAATGCTGTGAGGTTCACCAGCCACATTTCCCCAGAGTTACCTATTCAGAAATCAAAAATGCTTATTCAGACAGATGCATAAAACCAGTTGTTACCTAGGAAAACTTGCAGCTCTGACCCATAGCGAGTGATGTGCCTGTGGCTGGCACAGCAGTTCTGGGCTAATTGCCCACAGGGCTTTCATGTTTATGCTATCTCCTCTTTTCTGTGAGTTTGCCTTTACTTTTTTTTCTGTAGTCTCTTAATTTCCCCCTTGTCCCTTTGATTTCTCTCCCTTTTCACTAGCTTATATTATTACAGCACTGTTTTCTCTCCCTTTTCACCAGAGAATGTCACTGTGTCTTCTGTTCCACATGCGCACACACACACAATTCCCAGATACATTTAAGGGCAATATTTGAGAGTCTGCAACAGTCCCGCATGTTCTCACAAGAAAGGTGGTGAAAATTGCAAATATCAGTGAAGATCAAACCAATTATTGCTCACATGACATGACCAGGTACAGTTTTATCATGGATTTAAAGCAATTGGATCGTGGACTGCTTCCAGACGGCCCAGTCCCATCCTTTCCCCACTCCCTCTTTTCTGCCTTAGGTTATCAGTAAGATGGTGACCTGGCTGAAGTTTGATACTGTTTCTCTGGTTTTGCTGGGTTCACACTGAGCTGGTGCAGCAAGGTCAAGCTCTAAGGTATTGTGTTAATGCCAGGACAAGAAAGGTGCCAGGGAAGCACAGTGAGCAAGGTGGACAGGTCCACCCTTCAGGTGGCAATGCAGTCCTGGAAGAGGGTTCTAACGCCCCCATGCTATGGGCAGGCACAGCTTCCACCAGGTTGCTCAAAGCCCTGTCGAACCTGGCCTTGAACACTGCCGTGGATGGTGCAGCCACAGTTTTTATGAGCAAATGGTGCAAGTGTCTCACCACTCCCATAGTGAAGATGATAGTTCACCCTCATAGTGAAATGCATCTTCCTCTGCCAGTGGCTGTATTGCAAAATGATATGGTAGTATATGTCTATTTTAAATATTTATTTATAGAGAAAAGAAGAATTTTGTTTGAAAGAACTTTGGACAAGACTAGCACATTGCCAGCAAAAAAGGCAATCCTGATGCCTTATAAATGACATCCAAATAGGCTGATTAGATAGATACACTTACAAAGAATCTGTCTGGCACATGCTTGGCAAAAAACCCACACCTATGCCTAGAAAAACAAAACCAAAACAAATATCAGGGTAATAGCTTTTTTTGCCTAGCTCTGGAAAGTATCTCTTTCAGGTTTTTGGATTCTTGGAAAGAGTTGGCCTTGGAAACCAAGGACTTGTATTCCAAGTGGATCCTTGAATAGAGGGGAGAAAATAGGCATGAAAGCATGTGATAACCTGCAGATGGCCATGGTGATCTGCAGTTTAAAGAGCAGAGCAAAACACTTCTTGGTAAACAACACTAACTAGCTTTGAAAATAAAACACTTCTGATTCCAGGGAATATGTGGTAATTTCATCTACAAAGAATGTGAACTAAAGTGGGAGAAAAGCAAAATGGGACATCTCTTGCAGCACACTTGGGCTAAAAAAAACCCTACAAAATATTTTCCCAGGCAGCACTTCCAAAATTGCTGTGGTTACCTTTCCTGGGAACCTCCATGTGGCACAGGGAGGGTTAGGTCTTCAGCTGATTGCATCAGTGCCAGCACAAATTGATTGCCAAATTATGAATAGATATATTGCTCTTCAGATTTCAAACTCGAACGGGGTCTTCCTGTGGGCATTTTTAAGTAACACTGGGAGAAAAGCATGATCTGAAATTCAGAGACACTAAGGGACTTGTGAAATCACAGTTTCTTCCTGCTGGGTAGAGATACTTTGTGTTTCTTCCCCCAGAGAAAAGTGTTGCAGTATAAAGAAATGATACGCCATCCAAAAAGCAGCAAACATTTTAAAATCTGGATTCCCACCAAACTATCTCAGCAGGGTGACATTACGACAAGCTATAGGAAGAAAAGAAAGTCGTTTTTGTAAATTCTTGTTTTGGAAGTGGATTTCTCTCCCCACTTGCATAACAGCCCATTGTATTTGGCATAGATTGGGGAGAAGGGGGAAATAGTAAAGCTTGTCTTTTTCCTGCAGCAGTCTGCAGTGGAAGTGGGGTTGTGCAGGGCCTTTTCCATATAGCACCTGACTAAAAAACAGTATTTTTTTTCTTTTTTTTTACATTAAAACTAAAGATAACAGATTAAAAAGTTTCATGTAAGGAGTAGGCTCCTTAGTAGGCTGTAGACGTAAGGAGACAGATCTTCTTTGGCATGGATGCTGCTGAATGCTTCAAAACTTTCTTATCTTCCAGAGGTGCGTGTTTGCCTCTGTTTGCCTTTCCTTTACCTGCGAGCAGGCGCTCCTGGAAGAGGAGCTGAAACTTAGCACTGCAAGTGGCTGCAAAAACAGTACTGCAGTATGGGCAGGAAACCCAGCAGGGAAATGAAATAGCTGTCCTTGAGAACAGATAATAGAAACCAGAAAGAGACTGAAACTCTAATTTGCAAAATCACATCTGTCATGAGGAACCAGACTTGGCTTCTGCATAGTTTTTGTACAGGTTAAATTATGGCAACTACTGGTTCTCCACAACATGAATGTAGCTAGACCGGTCCTGGGTGACCCTGCTCTCTCAGGTGTCGGCATCTTTAATTCATACTAGCAGGTCTGCACTGCAGTAGTGGTAGTAGCAGAATTAAACCAATAAAGGAGTCGTGTGTGAACAAGTATCATGACACCTAACAGTACACCTCTTATTCCTAGTATTGGTACCAGTATGTAAAATGAAAGGTCACACTTGACAATTGTCCTTGGTAGTGGTGGTCCTCCAGGTGTACATTAGGTATATGTGTTAATTTTACCTCCCAACTCCCTTGCCTTAGAAAGTTGGACAAAAGGCTTAGCTGATTATCTGATTTCTAGCCTTCAGCACTAGACAGAGATTAACTTCACAAAAGGGAAAAGACCCCACTTTTGCTTTTTAATGGCCACTCTGGACATCATAGTCCCTACAGTCCTTTTGCTCACTCTGCCACCCCATCTGCATCATGTGGGGAATGGAAACAGGTATGCACTACAAATAGTGTGCAGGTCATATGTGGGGAGCAAGTTGTGACCATTTAGGTTGGAGAAGTGCCTTGGATTCCAGTACTGTTTGCGGAGAGAAACAGGTTTTTAATCTATTCAGGGCAAAGTTAAAAAAAATAAACATTAAAATCAAAATCCTGGATACCCAAAGAGGATAAAATCTCTCTCCTTCTACAAACAGGGGACATAAAATCAGATCAGTGCTAATTTTCATAGTGTTTTACCCCTACAAAAATGTAATACACTTTAGTTGCTGGGAGGAGGTGGGGGGAGAAATCATTATACCACTGTCCTGACGTGGTTCTTGGATAGTATTTCAGATCCTTCCTAATTCAGCAGGTAAATACAGGACAAGGCAATAAACAACTGTTATATTCCTTTATGGTCATCCCTGTTTTCAAATTTCTTTGTAATCCTTTAGAACTTTCTTAATTTGGAAGTGGAAAGACACTTTGGGGTGGAACAAGAAAAATACTTTGCATTTTTTATACCTTACCACTACAAAAGCTTTGCTTGTGTGGTATTGCCCTCTGCTGGCACTGGTCTGAGGAGCTTCACAAGTCCCAAAGAGGAGCATGCTGGTGAGGTTCATCTCCTTTCAGGGTGGTTTTCAAGGGCAAGGATCTGAGTGCCATTCTCAGTTGTCTTGAGCCACATAGAAGTCATGGTTTGATTTATTTATGGACAGGGTTTTCTCTTAATGTCTTAAAAGCATTAGAGGTCTTTGAAAATAATTTATTTTCCAGTGAATATTCTAAGAATCCGTATTCATTTTCATATAGGGTCTGCCTTTTGAAGACAGTTGCATTAAACATCAATGCAGTATTGTATGATGTGCTTTGAACTAACAGAAATTTTCTTCTTTTTCCCCCACCTAGTGCCACCTAATTCACTATCTGAGACTCAGTCATCACTTGATAGTTCTGAATTACTTGATTTGTACCTTTGACAAGCTGAAGTCTGTCTCCTCCGAAGACATTAACATCACCGATGCTGTTTTTGACGGTGTGGAAGTCAGAGTATTTGAACCCCCTGCAAAGCGAGATGAGAAGCTCAAGCGCAGTGTTGTTTACATCCACGGAGGGGGCTGGGCCTTGGCAAGTGCAAGTATGTGTCTGCCAGTAATTAATAAGGTTCTGATCTGGTTTTCTTCTAGCAGGGGAAGCCAAAAGCTGTTTTTCCTGCCAGGGATGACAATTTTGCTAAGACATACCTGAATTCAGTAGTAACTGTCTCCAGTCTGGTAGATCAGCTCTAAGGAGAGAGGAGGGAACATACTGTGAACACCAGCAAAAATGCATATCTTATCTGCACATGAGCTGTAAAAGGACAGAAAGGTTAATTTTGTTACATCCTGAGAGGACAAAAGAGCTTATTGTTTAAATTCCTGGGATGCCTGAGTAGGCTGTTTGAGCCAGTCCCCTGTTTTCTGTGGTCATATGCAAAAGTCAGTCCTTGGTGATCAGGATCTAGTGACTGTGTGTAAGGTTTTTGCCCCATTTTTGCAGAATAATTATCAAAAGAGTGAGCTGAACAACAGTGCGTGTAACAGCATTGCTAGTGTGTGGCTCTTAAGTAACACGGACTTGGGAATACATATTGCTGATCACTGACAAGAGGCAGTGTGATGTAGAAACAGATAGAGGTCAGATCTAGTCATGGTCTATCACCCTCCCTTAGGGGACCATTACCACCACTAGTAGAAATTACATTAATTGGTAACTAATGCTGTTTACTCCAGTTAACTTGGAAACCATAAACATGATCAGAGAAACTAAGGTATAGCTATAGACAACAATAAGCTAACCACTGATCCTTCCACATCGTACAGGAGGAGAAAGAGCATGTGGTTCTTATGGCTGCTCCAAGATCCAGAGCCCAGAGGAATCTTCCTCTTTTTCCTTCCCCATTGCTCCCATGACATCATGAAGTCCATACAGCCCTGAAGCATTCTATGGCTTCATCTACAGAAAAAGAACATTAATGAGTTTTTCTGAAATGCTCCAAAACAAAGACTCTATTGATTGCATTTGGACTATGCATGTATGAGTCACTTAGACCATGATTTAGGTGAGATTTAGGTCCTTAAATAACTTTTAAATCTTTTCTTAACCTGCCTTGGGAAATCCCAGTCTCTTTTTCCTGTGGTCCTATAGAATCATGGAATAGTTCAGGTTGGAAGGGACCTTCAAAGGTCATCTAGTCCAACCCCCTTGCAATGAGCAGGGACATTGTCCACTAGACCAGGTTGCTCAAAGCCATGTCTAACCTGGCCTCAAACACTTCCAGGGATGGGGCAGCCACAGCTTCTCTGGGCAGCCTGTGCCAGAGCCTCACCACCCTCACCTACAGCAGTTAAAAATTTCATAACAGTTCCTACAGAGGAATTGTGCTTTGAGATGGGTTTTCTTAGGCCTGACTAAGGGAGGTTTATTAGTGCCCTGCCTACCTCATTTGTTCTGTAACACTCTGCATATGACTTGTTGTGCAAAAAGTTAATATTAAATTACCACACTTTGTTTATAGTACTATAACTCAGCTGTGTCAGATGCTATCCTCAAGTCCACAATGAAGAAGTTAATGGCACAAATATTACAACTAAATATTAAATTCTAAGACTAGCTACTTAGAAAAATATTTAGTGTCTTAATATATATTATATTACCAGGAACTAACGATTAAGTAACTGGAAAGGAATAAAATTAAAGAAAATCAGTCCACTGATAAGTAGGATAGCTATTATTAATCCTCCCTTAAATGAGTAGTTCAGTTGACATTAATAGGGCAAGTCATTTGAATCAAAGCAATGCATGCTATAATAAAATGAACAACAAGCGGTGACTCATGCAGTGATAATTGTCTTTGGATGCAAATGCCCCCAAGCCACTGGGTACCTTAAATTTTGCCCAAATGAGAGAATCGTGATAGGTGGATGAAATTACAACCCCCAAGTCACCAAGAAAGAGATGCATTAGACTGCAGGACTTCTCAAGGCATGAATTATGTTCCTTCTGCTACAGTATGTATTTAGCACTTTATCTATTGCAAGCTGATCTCATTTACTTTGCTTCTATTTGTATGATGTCTATATTTTCTGAGAAGGCTTACGTATGGCTTTGCAACTATTGACACAAATGGACTTGTATGTCCCTAACACTGTGTCCTTTCATTCCAGGAACAAGCCTTTATAACAATCTCTGCAGAATCATGGCTGAGTCTCTCAATGCTGTCGTCGTCTCAGTTGAGTGAGTAATCTAAAACTGATCAAGTAATTTTAAGGTACTAGAAATGTATAACACAGTTCTTTCAGCTTTTCCCTTATTATTGGTTTGTGTATAGGTCTTTAACTTGGGCAATAATTGTCTATACCAGTCTGATATTTTTATCCTTTTAAAATTACAACATATTGGAATGGTATCAGAAATTCATTTGGGTTTCTGATTATTTCAGAGGTCATTTTAGAAGGCAGAAATGTGGGAAAATAAGGTAGCACTGAATTCATTTGGACAAATACTAAAATGCAAATGTCAGTGCATATTGCCATTGTATCTACATTTAAGGAGATGAAACTTGAGATCACTCAGGTGTCAAGTTATGATTATGTAAATACTTTTGAACTTTAAAAGCAGTCAAAAAACCCAACCACATTTGGATATGATATATACCTGAAGGAAAGCTGAGCAACATTGCTATGCCTCCTTGTATGGCAAGAGGGACTTTTCTGATCCTCAGTTGCCACTCCCACAAGATATATTTTTAATATATATTTAAAATAATGTTTATATATATTATATGAAAATAAATGTATTAAGTCCACCTCAAGTCTTTTCTATAAAGCACAGATTCTAAAACATACTGTGCAAGGATCTTCGACATTAAAATTATCAAATCATTTTACCCTGCTCATTAACCAGAACACACTGTGGAGTCTGGCAGTTTCCTGCTGCTCTCTCCATCTCCCACTGTTCAGTCCTCTCACTTAAGCCTTGTACTCCACTCAAGAGCAAAGGACTGCCAGGGTGCCAGACAACAGAGAAGCAGGGATGCTTTTTAAATACAGTGAACAATTCCAAGGTAAACAAACCTCTTAACTAGCTAAATACATTACCTTGATGAGTCTAACATGACTGGTACTTTTCCCATCCTTATTGTCAACCTCAATTTTTAATTTGACAAACCCAATCACTTGATATAACTACTCAAATTTCCCACCTGCAGTTGATTACATATCAAGCTCTGTGATCTAATTGCAATTTAATTATATGGAGTTGATGTTACTCATTTAATACTTATTATAGTGTACTTTAAAGGGCCACCGCTTTTTTTTTTTTTTAATTCTTTTTTTATTAGTGGAAACACTGAAAACTAAAAAAAGCAGCTGTTGGTTATTGCAGGCAAGCAGCGATCACAGTATTGAAAAAATACTTTTCATTCCTTTTCTAGTTTATGGTGGTATAATTCTACCTGTGGTATAATTCTACCTGCTTCTCTGAGTTATTGTTTACCTCTTTCCCTTAGCGATTGTATCCGCCAGTCCAGGCATTTGTACTCAATCAGTGAATTCTAATTAGGTTTCTCACTGGTTTAATTGCGTGTCTTCCTTTCATGATCTATGCACAGTCTATAATATGCAGTTTTGCAAAGAGTTCCCAAAGAACAGTTGTACTCCTAGATATGCAGTATATGGATTGCTTTCTGAAAGCAGGTCAGATTTGGAGTTTGAAACTTGCAACCCAAGTTTAAAATTTATTCTGATATGAAGCTTTTTTTTTTAGCTTACATTCTAGAGAAAATGTTTTGAATCAGAAAACTGGATTTTGTTTTGCTCATTTCGCTCAGCTCTACTGGGAATATGTAAAATCTGTTGTTTGAGAAGCTACAAACAGAAGGCATGTTTGTACCATAAGGCCTAGTAACAACTCTTACATGACAAATTATTCAGTAAATATGAACAGACTTTCCTGCACTAGAATTTAGAAACTGAGAAAATCTAATGAATGGGACTCTGCTACTGGCTGTTTGTGGGCAGACTGCTCTCTTTGTGCTTCAGTCTCTCCACCTGTGCAATGGGTATATTTCTGCTCCTCTCTTTGATAAAGTAGAGGAATTATTGAATATGTGGCATTGGAGCAAATTAATATGGCCTCACTTCTTGGCTATTGTTTATTTCATGGCACAGAGGTATAGCAAGGTTCATTCTCTCCTGCCTATAGGCAAAAAACTCAGGAAACAGAACTGTTTAGGTGTTTGGCTCAGCAGAATCTGTTGCATGTAGGTGACTTGCTCTCCTTCTTAGTAGTTAAGGTGGGGATGTGGACCAATACCAGGCTGATTGTAATGACTCACTTGCCAAGGGTGTTTTTAAATATTCATTAATTTTTATAATGTGTGATTAAATCCTCTATTGGAAAATCCTAGGAAAGTGCTGCACAGCTTTATAGTATCTTGGGATTATTCATATCTAATAGGTTCGTACTACTCTTTCAGAATTACAGCATTAATTGTAAGATTAAGTCTTACATAAGCATTATACACCTCATATTTTTCCCATAGTATTTACCCTAATTAAATAGTTATTTGCCATTAAGTAATATCTGATACTGCCTATTAATCCTGAAAGAGAGGTACATTGACAGTAATAAGTGTCTGTCATCTCTTTTCTTTTCTAGATACCGGCTTGTACCAGAGGTGTGCTTCCCCGAGCAATTTTATGATGCTCTTCGTGCTACTAAGCATTTTTTGCAGCCTGATGTCTTAGCTGAGTATTCAGTTGACCCAAGTCGAATTGCAATTTCTGGCGATAGTGCAGGAGGAAATTTGGCAGCTGCTGTGTGTCAGCAGGTAACTTCAGTGTCTGTTTTATATTACACTATGACAATCCCTAATTCAGTGATGCATATAGGTTTGACAGATTCTTTAAGGTGATGTGCCAACCCTTAAGACAGAATGGTAGAAAGCCAGCATCTAGTCACTTTACAGAAGAGAAATGAGTCTATCACAATATGAGTCACATAGCTTGCAACAGAGATGACTTGTTATCAGCTAGATTTTAAGAGCAAGTAGCTAAATTAGTCTCTTTACCCTTTTTGCTGGTGGATTCTTTATTTTTCTAAGCAGGTAATTAGGTACATGTGTAGTTTATCAATTTAGCTTCCTATTTTTAGGTGCTTTTCTCTGAAAATATGTTTTTATTTCATTCAAATACAAATAAAGGACCAAAAAATACAAGGCGTGAAGCTCACTTCTGCTGTTAAATTGTCTTCCTGTAACATTTCGCAATTTTAAAGATTTTTTTGGAGGGTATCTGCAGTTTAAATGTAATCTGAATTTAATCTAGTAAAGATTTTAAAGGCACCCTGGGGTGAGCAATAATACCTTTCATGGTTGAGTGAAGCATTATTATTAGCTTTTTTCATATTGCCATAACCACTGGTGATAAGAAAGTCGTACCATGTCCAGACAATTAATTGACAAACCTTGCAATAATGAATTAGAGTGAAAAAATTAATAAGCGACAATTACACTAAAAGTTTTGATATTGAGGACTGATAAACATAATAGTATCATGTTTTGGAAAAAGCATTCCTAATTTGTTTTCCTGATGCATAATTCTTTTCAAGCAAGGTGAGATATGATAGAGAGCTGTGTAGCTTGTGTAGAAGATGAAGCAAAATAAGTGTTTGCTGATTCTTCTAGTAGAAGAATTGGGGGGCACCAAATGTATAATTGGAAGGCTCAAATCAAATGCAGATGACAGGTTCAAGATGAACACAAAGAGGTACTTCTGCACATGGTGAACCTTCACTAGAGAAAACTGCGGATGCCAACAATTTGCATATGCTGAAAAAAACAATTAGATAAATATGCTGAAAAAACCCGATTACATACATTTATAGTTCCTTTGATTCAGGAAGTCTTTCAGTTGCCAGTTGTTAAAGTGGGCATTGTGTTAGAAAAATGCCACTTTATGCTTTTTTTTTAAATTTTATTTCTTATATCCTTCAATAAACTTTTGCCACTGATTTCTGCTGGAGATGGGATACTGGATCTGCCTGAATGACCATCCTTACAAGAAAAGAAAAGGATCAGGCTGCTAGTATTTCAGACAGAAGAACAACATTATCTGCATAAGAGCATAATTCAGCCTAAAAACTGACAAATGAATTGTTGCTTGTATGAAGTGCTAGACTGAAATTGTCATTTTTATTTTCTTTATAATCCCAATTCTATTCTATATTTTTCCCACAGCTCAGCAAAGATGAGGATTTGGCCATCAGACCAAAACTGCAGGCTTTAATTTATCCAGTCCTGCAGGCATTTGACTTCAATACACCTTCTTATCAGCAGAACATGAATATGCCTGTTCTTCCTCGTTATGTCATGATCAACTATTGGATAGATTATTTCAATGGTAACTATGACTTGGCTCACTCACTGCTGATTAACAACCACACTGCTCTTGACGTTAGCAAAGCTCTCTCCTTCAGAGGACACCTGAACTGGACATCTCTATTGCCTTCATCATTCAAAAAGAACTACAAGCCTGTAATACAAACCACTGGCAAGGCTGAAATCATCCAGGAGATACCGGCACTGCTTGATGTACGAGCAGCCCCACTCCTTGCAGACAATGAAACTCTGCAGCTGCAGCCAAAGACTTACATCCTGACCTGTGAGAATGATGTCCTGCGAGATGATGGGGTGATGTACGCCAAGCGCTTGGAGAATGCCGGCGTGGAAGTCACACTCGATCACTTCGACGACTGCTTTCATGGCTGTATGATATTCACCATTTGGCCTACTGATTTCTCTGCAGGCATTCAGACCAGGAACAGCTATATAAGATGGCTGGATGAAAATCTCTGAAGACAGCATCTCTCTAGAAGACACAGGGTGCAAAACTCTGGTGTCCCTGCAAAAAAAAACAAATGATTAATAAGTGCACTTTCCCCAAGTTCTGACTCCATCGTTCAGCTGCAGCTGCTGGGGGTACAGACCACTAACTACAGCATTTGCTAGCTCATTTGTCCTTACACAGCAAAGCAGTTTGAGAAATACTTTTTTAAACTTGGATTTTTTTCACCTTCTTTCACATGTCTATTGCCAAACAAAGAAATGTTGAGCAGGGAGATCAGCATTCCTGTAGCATTCTTAACTGGCTGCAACTTTCAAGCTTTCACCCCTAATTAGGCACAAAGGCGCCATTTTACAAATGATGTGAGATAAAGCCAAACACCTACATCTACATCTGAATATGTAAAAATGGGAGCTAATTTCAACAGTGTGGAGCATCTGATGTCAGAGTGAGCCTCACCTTTGACAGCAGAGCCATGCATCTGAATGTCAGGCAGGGATTTAGGTGTTGGCTTTTAGGCACATAGACAAATGGCTAGTTTAAATTTTTTTTTAAAAGCTCTTCTGGGCAATTAGGAGGATGCTAGGAAAGTCTTTTAGCCAAAAATGCAATTCAGCTTTGGAATTTGGTCTTTATTGCCTTTTAGTTATTTATGTTTTATAAAAGCACAGGACTAATATATTTTCAATGAAAGTACTATAGCATACATACAAATATGCAAATGATACAACATATGATAAAATACTCAGCAAAATCCAGATTGCTCATGTGAGTGAGCTTCAAAGCTGCCTACTTATTTGGCTAAAAATGTGACTTGATCTGTATTTAAAGCCTCAGCTGTATGACCTCCTTACAGAAATACTGTGCTTACTAAAAATAATCTGCTGTGTGGTTTGCACTAATTTTTGTAATTAATAGTAGAAGTTTTTGTTCATTGACTTTTGTGCTCATAATGTTTATTATATTTCATCCTTCTTTGAAGGAGGGAAGCAGGCAAATAGAAGTGGGCTCTTATCTATAGGGAAGATTTAAATCTGAGCTCTGCAGCTAAACTTTGTCTTGCAGACTGACCCAAAACACTAGGTGAGATGATCCCCCTAGTGTGCACAAGCATCTACGGTTTGAGCCAGTCTGTAAAATTCAGACAGGCAGGACAGGGAAGTGAAACGGTGTATTACAGTATATATTGTCAAGGATGCTTGCTGCATCCTTGGGTTGCGTCAAAAGCCCAGTGTTAGTAGGTAAAGAGGAGAGAATAGCTGCCCCATGACTAAACTAACAGATTAAATTCATTCTCAGCTTTACTACAGACTTCCTGTGGTACCCCAGGAGAGCAACTTAATCTCCTTATGCCCTGCTTTGTTCTTCTGCAAGAGGAGGAGTAGTATTTTCATACCGGACAAAGGAGCTGTGAAGCTGAATTCACAGGCATTCGTGGAGCACATGGATGTGATGGTGACTGGCGGGCACTGAACTGCTCCTGTAGCTTTTGCCTTCCCACCCTTCTCTGATAGCTGTCAGAGCAGCCCACCCCAAGACATGTGGTGCTGCAAGGCCATGAGTTACACCATCTCTGTCCTGGCTCCTATCAAAGTGAGGCTTTTTGCCTGTTGGCAGATCATGACAAAAGCAATTTCATTAGAGTGTTTTTTACAGCAGGATTCTGAAAATTTCATTAAAGAAACAAACAAACAAACCCAGGGTACTGGTAGATCAAACTGCCTTCTGTCATTTAAAATATACACAGAACAGTCCACTTTCACTGGTGTTTAAATTAAATGAGAGAATGACTTTGCTGAATCATTGCTTCCTAGAAATATTGGGTTGTTAATGTGGCTGTATGTATTAAGAAAAATGAGACAAGGCCTCAATGTACACTCAGTCATGCAGGCTGAAATTCATTTCTGAGCATACGTCTACAGAGAGATGTCAAGGCAAAGCTTTTAAACAGTGGCCCAGATTCTTCCGCATAACTCATTACAAAGACTTAGTGCAATTAGAGCAGCCAGGTGGCAGTCTGAATCAGAATAAATTTTGGTCAAGATATCCAATTAATACTGCAGAAGAATTCAAACTTTTTGTCTGGATTTAAATCCTTTTTCCTCCTTTCCTCCATAAACACAATTTCAGTAGATTTAATTTACACTTAAACCAGACAGCAAACAAAGTTAAGTCCATTCAAAAGACAAATTACTGATCTGTCATTTTCTCCTGTATGGAGACAGCTCCCTTTACTTGCCTTTAAACCATGATTTAAATATTGAGAAATAGATAGTTACACTTTGTTGCAACAACGGGCCTCTTCCTTGCTTTCCCATATAAAGAGTAAACCCAGAAAAGATGTAATTTATATCTACCTGCTGCCATTAAAAGATAGTAGTAAATGTACTACTGGAAAAGAAAGTGGTTCATCTGCTTATAAACTATAATAATTAAGTTTGCCTGAGAGCTTTCTGCAAAGCTTTAGATCAGTATTTGTTTCTAGCTAAGTTATAAATACCTGCTATGAAGCTATAATATAATTGCTGCTGGTTTATTTTTTTTTAACTGAAATGAAATGGAAAGCTGGAATATATATATTCATAGAGTCGGTTGTAAAGTTCCTTCATGCACTGAAGCACATTAAAGTCTTGGCACAAGAAATGGTAGTAAGTATATAACTGGACTGAATGTGTTTACTAAATCATCACCAGCTTGACAGACATCCAGGATCTCAGCACAACTTGGATGCACTGTCACAGTATTAACTAGTTCCATCAGAATATCTTGACTACTTTTATCTTGACTACTTTTATCTAGTTATATGGTTTAAATACGTGATGGCTGCAAAGATATGTGATGGATCCTATAACATATAAAAAAAGGTCTGAGTTTCAGCTCTAAAAAGATCTTTTAGTATATAACTGCACAAGACACTTGATTAAAATTCAGTGTAAACCTCGAAGGTAGTCCAAATGCAGCTTTCCTCCTACTTTGCTTTGTTCTCCTTTGCACAAGTCTCGGTGCCCGAAGTTGAAAGTTCAGAATTGTTTCCATCTGAGCTGCTGCAGGCTCCTAGAAACTGAGCACTAACTCCGACAAGAGCTCAGCTGTGGCCAGCAGGCATGCTTACAGAGGGCTGATGCCTGATAGCAAGAGATTAGGAGTAATGCATGTTCCAGCAGCTCAATTTGTTCACGTGTTTAGTCCTGTCTCCTGAAGTGCTTCCTCTCGTGCACCTAGAACCTTCATTCCTTGGTTATTTCAGAAAGGGGTTTAGGGCACTTTGCACATTGTAGGATCAGGCCAAGTACTTGTAACAATATTGCACTGGTGCATTGTAAAAAGTCAGCCTTCTGAAAGAAGATAATAAGTATGTCTACTTATCTTCATTAAATCAGTGAGTATGACTAGCTCCTTTTTGTAGATAGCTTTGTTTTCCCCTCCTAAAATTAGACTTTATCTGCCCATTGCAAGACTGCCTTGTTTCTGATGGCCATCAAAGCATTAAAATGTAAGCTTTTAAATAAAAAAACAACCAAACTCAAATAACAGAACCTATAGTCATTTGTATCCTGCTTTGATAGATCTAGCAGGTCCTTAGTATTTTGGCCAATAGTCTCAGGAATAAATGGAGGTTTTGTCTCTAGTTTAAGACCTCTTAAAGGATGTGTGTCCAGCATTTCTTAAAGCCCAAACCTGTCGAAGGATATTTCATGATGCATAAAAGTTACAGATAAATTGAGTTTCCTAACCTTCATCTAAATAATTCCAAACCTGCATCCCTAGCCAAAGCATAAAGGCCATTGTGGGTTTAAATCTCCACAAACTAAAAAGAAATGCTTTTTCTTTACAATATTATTTTGTAGTGTTTGGGCCTCTTTTTTTTTTTATCTCTTACCAAACTTTATTAAAAACCTTTTCAAATAAAAATATTAGAAGTAGGTTAACCTCCGTTAAACTTTTTAAGCTGCTATGATCTGCCACAATGATGTTGTTAAAAAAACACAGCTATTTCAATGTTCTCTTATTTATGATGTTCAGAACCTGAAAGTACAACATACTTGGTGTGAATGCATTCATATCTCATGCATGACCATTTTTTTGCTATTTTTCCCTGTGCAGGTGAAAGATCTTGTAAGATCTAATTAGAAAGTGTGATTGAGATGTGCTATCAAAATGAAGAACAAATAAATAAAGTGAAATATATCTGTGATTTTTTTTTTCCATGGGATTATGAGAAAATGATTTTATTTTCAGATGTGCAGCATTTCCAATTTGAGTTTTCACTTAGCAGAGGTCAGTGAAGCAAAACAGGAGACTTCAGCATTCCTGAAGAAATGTTGGAACCAAAGTCAAGGTGGTTATTTTCAAAGCAGGAAACCTTGCCTGTGTGTCTGTGGGCTGTGAGGGACCTCTTCATTTCTGACAAATGTAATGGTGACCACATCTGCTGGTGTTGAATAGTGGACAATACCTGCACTAGTGCTGCTATTCTCTTTCAGGATGGACAGTGGAGGCTCATGTTCTCCATTCTGATCTATAAAAATATTTTTATATGTTTATAGATCATGTCCACGTTTGAAATCTGTTTTAGCCAGTGAAAGTCCTAGTTCCATTTTCATTCCTATTTGCCTTCCTTTCACATTCTTTCTGAACTGTTGCCCACTTTCTTCCCCTTCTATCTCATTTGTTAATAGTCATAGCAGCACAACTTTTGAAATATCTAAATGTGAGGGTTTGCCATTTTGTCCAGCAGGGTGCAGTGACTTTCACAGAATACAAAGCCTTTCTCCTGCTGAAAAAGTACTAGGCAAAAAAAGCTTCAAAGGACTTACAAGCCTATTTTTAAGTCAGCAGGAGTCATACTCCTGCCTGTGTTAAATGCATTAAAAACAGGTTGGGCCTCAGAACAATTTTTCCAGTCATGCTTACTTAAGATTTAGTAGTAAGTGCCTGTGCAGGGCGTGGGAGGACCAGGACAGTGCCTCCCATGGCCAGGTACAGCTGCACATCTCATCCCATGCCACGTGGCACTGCAAGAGGATGCACAGTGAGCACCCACTGGAGGACCCGCTGCTGTCTGTGCTGCCCTTCCACCAGCACTGAGCTGCCACCCGAGGACTGACAAAGGGTCTGGCACAAAATTGTCAACAGCATCTTCAAATGGCATTAGATGAAGATGTGATTCAAGCATTAATCTACTATACATACAACACACTTCTTTTGCAGATACATGGTGCCGCTGAGTATTTATCCAAGTGGGGCTGGCTGATGTCAAAACTCAGAAGAGCCAAGCTTAGAAACCGAGCCTGGTGCCAAGCACATCTCTTGATTGCACTGAATGCCTCCATGGTGCTGGAGCTGTATTTTCCTGTTCCCACTGCAGTAGCCTACTATGCACCTCCTACCCTCAATTGCATGACTGAAGCAGCAATTTTATTTTGTTCATCTCCATGGGAAGCACAAATGTTCTTGCTTTCATTTTTTTCTGGCATTAATCCAATGGCATTTATTTCTTTTATAAGTGTTGTTTAAATTGTTGGTAACACATCACTAATACAAGACTTAAGTTTTACCCCTAATGTAAATTCAATAATTTTTCACAATGATTTTCTATAGCATTTTAAAGTGTTTATCAACTCTTCAAGAGGAAGACAGGCAAAAGAAAATGAGAAACCCTGCAACAGCTCCTTTTAAACTGTTTTTACAGAAACTCTAGTGTAAATAACTCCTGTGACTTTATATAAGCAAGAAAATACTAAATACTTCTATCACAACCACTTGTTCTTCTGAGGCACAAGCTCTACAAAACCACAGCACTTCCCATCATAAGACATTCTAGGGATATAGGAGAGGCAGAGTTCATTTGAGAACATATATTAAGAGGTTTAAAACAACATTTCAAAATTTAAGTTTAAAACAAGAATAATTGGGTTTACAGAAAACTACCTCTCCC